CTCAATAATGAGGATCGCCTCAGACCCTATCCCATGGGGAGCTGCCATGGTGATGGAAGAGACCAACCCCCTCTGAACCTTCCCAAGTTGGAACCTACCATTTAAGCTCATAGCTCTAAAAAACTTGATGAGTCCAAAGGGCAAGGAATACTAAAACTAAAGGCAATTTCAGTTCCATTTTCAAGCCAGCTTAAAAACCTATAATCAAAAGCTATATGAGGGAGAGGTGCAACCCAAACACATCTCCATGCAAAAAGTATAAAAAAATTCCAAAGGCCAAAAAAAACTCAATGAAAAGGTTCTAGATGGCTGAATAAGATGAAGGTTGAGGTTTCAATCAGGCTTAATGCACGGTCAAAATGTATTAAAAAACTCCTAAGGCCAAAAAAACTCCAGTGAAAGGGGTCCTAGATGGCTGAGTAACATGAAGGTTGAGGTTTCAACCAGCCTTAACCCGCAGTTGCCCTCTGACCATTTGATTATAGGAGTTCAAGTTTCCATCTGTGGCAGGTGTGTGCATCTTTGATGCTCACTCGTTCTTCAAAGAACAAAATGAGTACCAAAGGAGGCAATTGCAGACAACCCCCCTAGAATTGGTTATATTTTCAAGCCCCTGAACCCTGGACCCCACTAGCCTGGTGAACATATGACACACTGGACCATACTCTAGAAAAAAATATTCCCAAAATAGCAAAAACTATTCCATTTTAGGAGATTGGTACCAAAATAGGAAAGTCTCAAGTGAAAATGAAGAAAGTATTTAAACTTACTGAACTGGAGTAAAACATAGGGGGGAGCATATTCATAAAAAAGAAACCTCAGAGATTCTGTGAAAGCTGGGCCGAAAAGGTCTCAATGAGGCAGCTGCATCATTGGGGGCAATGTGCATTAGTCCAGATTAAATCGCGATGTTCGTTACACCATCTGAAGTATTTTTCTCTATATATCGCTTTGAGTCGCCTTAAGGGAGCATTTTAGAACCAAAACTTGAATTCTCTTTGAACTCGTCTCAAAACCTTAGAAACCTAGGAGATCTGAATCCTAGTTCTTTTCAAATTCTAACAATCTTAGGAGGAGAAATGCTTCCGAATTCAAGAAAACCTTTGGTAAAATTCTAGGTGGAAAATTCCCTTCCAATTCAAGTGAAAATTGAAGATAAGAGGAGAATGCCCCAACTTCAGGTGCCTAGCCCGTGGAACCGACCTCTCAAGTAATTCCTTTTGTGTTTATTTTTTTCATATTTTTCTTATCAATATTTTTTCTTTTTTCTAAAGTTCTTTCAGGAACTCTTGTTCCTATTTCCCCTCTCATTTTCTAAAAGGTTGCTTTTGGTTTTATTGTGGATTGGGATTTGGCCTAGCTCAGCCTACAGATTGTAAGGACAGGTCTTTCAGGATCAAAGTGGACTTCAATTAATCGATTTCATCTTAGGTTTGTCGTGTAACCAAGAAGTGAGGTCACTTCATATAAGCTTGGACTCATCTATAAACTCAAGACTCTAAACGAACGGGTAGTAAAAGACACCAGATTCTATATATCATTTGTGCGTTGCGCAATTGATATATTGAATAAGATCCTTAGTTTAAAGCTATATGCTGCCATAGAGCTTGATGTAATTTATACTGCTTACACTAAATAAAGGTTCAAATTGAAACACACCCTTCATGGTATGCGAATCACATATGGTGGCTCATACTGTTTTCATAATATTTTGAAATATTTTCATGTCATTTGACGTATGGAGCCAAACATTATCCTTAGCTGAGTTAATAGGTTTCTCAATGAATACCATAACCTTCACGAAATTTCCAAATCTTATAAACTCATCCAAGAGGGGAGACAAAAATGTGATAGTTGTGTCAGCTTCAAAATATAAGCATATCACTTCTTCAAGCCAATGCATACTATGAACTCTTCAAAGAACTATCAACTTTAGCCAAGGCATAGAATTCTTCAAAGGACTATCAACTTTGAGTTTACGTTTTTATGTATGAAGCTCTGTGTAGCTCAGCCTTCCACATAAATACCAATTCCTACAACACTTCTCAGCTCCTGACAATCCAATAACATGCTGTCAGATTAATTCGAATATCTTAAGCCTTGGTCAATGCAGTATCTTTGCTTGATATAAGAATCCAATTAGCTCCATGGCTCTCTCAAGCATCAAAGGAGCCTGCTTCCATCCTTCCAACCCTACATGCTTTCTTTAAGAACCTTAATCATTTTGATGCAGATAAACCCCAACCACAACATCTAAAACAACAATATCTTAAATTGTTGCTATTGCTATTCCTTTTGAATTGGCAGAAAGGATAACGGAAACTACCAAGTTTCAAATATACTGATAGCAAACGAGAATCACACACATCTTCTTTGAGCTCCGGATCATTTACAGCCATGGTATGTGGCTTACAAACAATAACAATTAAGCTTGCACAAGTAACTGACTGCTTAGCGACCCATTCCAGTCCCTCTCATTTCTTGATCTGCAATAGCAATACCAGTCTCGAGAAAAACAAATATCCAAAACATGAAACTGAGATATTGAATCGAAAAGCTCCAACTTGTCTTAAGACCAGTACTGACTGGTTTTTTCATTTCCTTGTCAAGACCAAACAGGAAATAAGCCAATGCTTTATTGGCTCGTCAAGGGCAACCTTCCAAACACTTAGAACAGTGACCAGTTCAAATCACTAACATGTCATAGATCTCAATAAATTCATCAACTCTAATGGAAGTTCCAGAATATCTACTAGTCTTTGGATTAATGGTTCAAGGCTCAAAAGGCTCCAAAATTCTTTAATATGCCATGCAAAACCACCTCAATAATAATGATACAGTCCAGAGAACCCGACCTCATGCAATGCTTAGTTTCCTATCTCGAAAAGATGCTACTCGAGTCCCAATAAAAGTTGCTATCCTTATGCTCACCATTCTAATAGTTGCTTTTTCAGCATTTTTTTAGGATACACTAATAAGATCTAATAAAAACCCAAAGGACATAATGCAACTAAAGGGATAAAGCCCCTAAGAATTGCAGAAGAATGTAATGGAATAAAGAAAAAAAAAGGTGGAAAATTGAGTCATAAAGAAGGGCAGGAGAGCAACATAGATAGCAAGGGAGTCTCCCTTGCCAATAGCTACCTGACACGCATCCGCATGGAGATAAATGCCTCTCCATCTCTTTTGAGTATCTCCTATCTCCTACATTCTTACACAATGCTGCACCACATTCGATAAATTTCCTTGAGTTTTGCATGTAAGATCACCCAAATTCTACATGTCAGAGAATAGGGTCTACAATTTTACTCTGCTTCATAGCATAAGATACGAGGAACACATCCTCATCTTTGAATCCTATATTTATGAAGAGCTATGTTGCACAGAAAGAAAAACATGTGTCAGCATTGGCCTTCCAGATTAAAGAAGAGGGAGGTCAAAAAAGAAATGGGTGAGGTAGTTCGGATCTTGTGAGAGCTTTAGCACTTCCTAGTGACATTTTAACCAAATGGGTTAAGCAAAGGTGTTCTAAGTGTCTAAAGTATCAGATACAAATGTTGGGCCCCCCTTGTGTGTTGTCACGTGCCAAAAACCATAGACTCATGTATCCAAGTGACAGATAGATAGGATTTATGCAGAACGGTCAACCACCAAAAGAGAAAGTAGACTACAGCGATGCCTAAAACAAGTGGTCTACGGTAACTCAACCCCCCAGCCATAGTTTAAGGAGCTGACTGAAAAGGGACCTCCTATCCCACTCTACCAGGATCAACACCAAGGATGAGCAGCTCTCTTCTTTGAGACTCCACAAACAACCTACTCCCTCTATCTATGTTCCTCATGCTCCAAACAACGTGAAGAAAGCAAATATTGGTAGTTTCCATGTACCACAAATCAAAGAAGCAATAAATCATACTCCCATCCTGGATCCTAAGTTTCAATAAGAACCTCTGTTGCTTTACTATTGAACTGTTAGCTGCATACCATAAGAACCAATAATATCCTGTGATGATGGACTTTGAATGCTCCATAATGATCCCGTTTCCAGGCCACGCCATGGTCGATCACTCCATTTTGACCAAAAATTGTTCCTAGAGGGTATTAGAACCATAGTTATAAACTCATGGTAGCCATAACTGTTGAACATGATTGTTGTAATGACATGATGTAATCCTAGGGGTTTACAAGGATGTGGAGGTGCCTTGAAGAGTTAGCCATCTTATAACAGAAATGTTCAATTTATGTGCTGTTTCATCCTGGTTTCATGAGGTGGCTGATGTACTGGCTAAGGATGGGAGCCTGTTGTTCATCTTTGTAAATGTTAGTTGCAAGAAGGTCCTTTCACATCTATTTCATATGATGTAAATAGTGCTCTTTCATTAATAAAAAACCACTACCTTCCCTCAAAAAGAAAAAAAGCACTGTAGATAGCCGTGCGGGAGCTTGCATCCAGGATTTTCAAAACTGGATCATAACCCTGAACCTTCAGGCACGGAATCTCGATTCAGCGAACTGGAATGTCGATTCACCAATCAATCTATATCGGTGTGCAGATGCAACTATGAATAAAAACATTTGAGAACTGGTGGAAATTGGGCAGTCTGGGATTCCCTATAACCTGATCGCCACCCACATATTACAGGTCAAACTGGGCAATTCCAATTTGGCCCAACGATTTTTAATAACTGGTTGAGTTCGTACTAGAAAAAACACCACCCGCATACACAAGTGCATTCCAGCATTGACAGTATAAACAAATAGATAGAAATGCCATGTTCCCACCAATTGCGAAAACCCCAATTGCGTCCATTCTAGAACAAACACCACCCACATACATACATAAATGCCTGTCGACATTGCCAGTATAAATAAAATAGATTGAAATGTGATGCACTATCCATTAAAATCCCTGAGTACCATGCAATTTAAAGCATCATAGCCATTAAAACAACAAAAACCAAGCATTTTTCATAGGTATTTCTCCATTCAGTGAGTATAAGCCTATAAAGTTACTGGTTCCTTTCAATTTCATTTAAAAGGTTCCCCCTTTGCTTTGTTCTCTTAAACACCTTATCAAAATGTTGCCTCTTAATGATCAAGCTTTTGAAATACTCATGAAAAACATACCAGCAGCTCAAATGAAGTAAAGGGTTGGGCAACTGCATGACCAGTACTAAGAACTATGGAACTGTGGAATCATCTCTCCAGTATCAAGGGAACAGGTTACATTTAATGCATTGCTCATAAACAAACATACATTTACTTCATGACGATGTTTTCACACCAGATTTCCATTCATCGAGACACTGCGCATAGTGATGGTTCCACACATGAGATTCAACAGCTCAGTGATAGGTTCTAACCCACTCAATTACAACTGCATATGACATTGGAAATAGAAAATAAATTTCATATACGTAAGAAGTGCAATGGATCTTCCTATAGGACGAATTGTTATACATAACAGGCTTACACAAAGTTCAGCAAGAGGAAGCAGTACAGCATGTGAATAGAAGATTCAACAAAAAATAGAACGGCTTCAGTTGTTTTGATCATCAAGAGTTATATAGAAGAGAATTTCAAATCATTTTAAGACGGGAGCAAGGGAAGCCCTACATTCTACCAAAAAATATAGAATCAGCCCCTAAAATTTATTAAGCAAATCCGGCAGAATCCAGCATCAATCACATTTGGGAAAATCAAACCAAAGGAATGCACCACACAACATAGCAATGGATAAACAATAAGCAAAACCATATGTTCCAAAAAAAAACAGAACTACATATTGTTCCTTTTTCAACCATTAACACTGACAATTGACGAAATTTAAGAGAGGAAAGAAGGAGGGGGCATTTTCAGGCCCTGAATCTGAGCAAAGATCTTATATGTCACAAATTTGATAACCCCATCCCTCTTTAAAAAAGTAAACGAGATAGCGACATGTAAATTCAAGACCAAAGAGGGAAACACAGAATCCTCAATCCCAGCAGAAAAAGAGAGATTGAAACCCTAAAAACACAACAAACCCTGAGGGAAAAACCAACAAAGAACCAGAGAAGACACAGTCACAAAGTAAAAGTGGTTATCTCACCAGAATCAATCCTGATTCTTGAGCTTCTCCACCCTCTGGCTAAGCTGCTCGAGCTTCACCACGAGTTGGGTAACAGAGAACAAGAGCCAATAAAAGATCAAAGCAGCAGCGATCAACAGGGCGTTTCTCTGGCTCTTCATGATCGATTTCTGGTGTCTAAGGTGCTCAGTTGGTGTGCAAGCCGCCCCCTCACAAGAGGGCCTGGTCTCGTACTTCCAGTATATATCCATTAACAAGAACAAGCAGAACGGAACCACTGATAACAGGGGTTTCAGGGCATTTCTAGTAACCGCGATCAAGCCCTTCCTGAGACGATCAAGACCAGGAAGAGTGAGGAGCAGGAGCATGATGGCTTCGGCACCTGCTGCGTACCCTAGAACCACCCATTCCAAAGCCATTTCACTTTCTTTCTCTAGAAAACGATCACCGTCTCTCTCTAGAAAACGTTCCTTTCTAGACCAAGTTATTGAGAGAAGTTGCAGATCTGAGAGCCGATTGCACACACACTTTACAATGAGAGAGAGCTGGATGGATGCGCGAGAAGGGACAGCTTTGATTTGTAGGCGAAAGACGGGATCAAAGGAAGGGAGGGGAGGGGAGAGAGATAGGGTGTGGGCAAAATATAAAAGTTTTAGAGAGAGAAAGAGACGTGTCGAATGGAAGTTGAAAGGGCGATGCGATACGGTTGCTTTCGGACTTATGCGCCTGGTCGTTACTTGGCAGGGAAGGAAAGGGACTCGATGCGTCCTGTGTGTGATTTATTCGCTTGCGATATTAAACAGCATACACCACATTGGTTTATGGCTTTGCAGGTCGACGGGACGGAACGGAACGGCACGGCACGGCACGGCACGGCATGAGAATATCTACCATCCGTTCCTAGTAATCGCATTAACTCAGCTATGGGACTGCAGAGTCTTGTGAATCGATTAAGACTTCTATATTTTTTTTTTTTGAGAGATAGGTCTAGACTGCTCTTTTTATCTTTGGGTAAGGTCCGTATAGAGCAGATGTGTTAAACAATCGAATTAGAGCCCACCTTCGCATAGTTTCAAAAAATATGGTTTTAATATTGGAAATTTTTGTAGTAGTAAAGTATATTTGAATAATGATCATATGAGACCCTCCCACACCTATGTGTGTAGAACCCCAGAGGATCACCATTAAATTTGACATAGATCTATAAAAAAGTCAGTCTCACTCCCATGTGATAACTTTTTTAGAGATCTGTGCTAATTTTTTGTGATCATTTGGAGTCCTACACACATGGGTGTGGGAGGGTCTCGTAGGATCATTGCTCAATATATTTTAATCTTTAATTATAAAATTTAAAACTTTAGAAATAATCTATATTTAGCAGATCTATGAAAACTTGAAAATTGACGGTCAAAAATTACATTACAAAATGCATTATTTTCAAAACTTGAAATCTAATTTTTTCTTATGTCCATGCATCTTGATATCGAGATGATCAATTTGATGATATTTAGGCATCAACACAACCTCTTCTAGTGAAATTTTCGAGGTAGGCTCTAATTTGATTGTTTAAAGCCTAGGCTCTATATAAACTTTTCCTTTTTATCTTTTGAACAAAGATGCCACAATCGTTCTCATCCTTAAAAATAGGTGGTTTTGAGAGTATCTTAGACACCATCATTGATGGAAAAACCATGTGATCCAACTGTTAGCCGCCTGGTTAGATCGGAACTGGCTGGGTCCGATTTTGGTGATTGACTATTATTTAAAAAAAATCAAAAAAATTTCACAAAAATAAGAGGTTTGTAATGAATTTTTTAATATTCTCTATATTGTGTAAAGATTAAAAATTATTTTGGTCATTACTACTCACTATAATTCAAAAAGCAATTCGTTAAAAATCTATTTTTTCATTAATTTTCAACTTCATTTGAATGTATTTTGTTTTAATCATTCTTAATATGTTTTCATATTTTAGTAGATTTTTTTTTGTTTCTCTTTTATTTTTCAACACTTTTCCCAGTTAGAACGGTTGAATCGACTGTTTAACCGCTTCTAGACCGATGTCCGGTTAACCGTTTTGATTCGATTTTGCAAATACCGGACACAATGTTTCAAAACAAAAATTCTCGGACTCCGTGACTCACCCCAAGCCATTTTATTCGGGAAAATAGTTTCATGCGGGCTGGACCATATTTCTACAATATGTGGTCCAGAGGTACAAATCATCCATCTTAAAGATGGATGCAAGTGTAACTAATGGTCCAAATGTTTTCTTAATATAATTATTATTTATAATTTTCATTTTTTTTTCTTATTCATGATCTCCATGTTAAAAATTATATATTATCTTTAAAAATTACGATCAAATTATATTTAAAAAATATATTGATTGCCAAGCCCGTATTTCTCCAATATGTAGGCCGCATAGAAACTGTGTCCTTTTATTTGATATCTAATGAGTGATAATAGTTGTGGTATCCTTATACAAATGGTAAATGGTCTCTCTGTAGACAATCTCTTTTCTTAAAAAACTTTTGGCCCTACAAAACCCAGTCGAGGCCCTTTAGAACACTTGGTTGAGTAACTTGGCCCGGCCCAAGGGCTAAGTCCCTTGGCAAAGACTGGTTCCTAAATACCAATTGTTTAGATAAATGGACCAGTGACTCGAATCGACCATCTAGAAAACCATCATTGATTGGCAGATTGGTAATTTGGATTGGTGGATCGAAAGGATCTAGTCTTAAAGCAATTTTAAATTTTTTTAAAATCATTATAAATTTTTTTTTTTTTTTTAAGTTTTCAAGAAATATGGGAATACTGCATTATAAATTTCATTATCTTAGAAAAGAACATGAATATTAAGATGTTATTTTCCCATTTGAGTGTCTATTGATACATTCACTTTGTATCTTGGATATGAATATATGGTCTGCAATGGAGTATACAATATAAAAATACAACCTAATACCAATAGAGTAGTTATAATATATTAAATTTGGGTGCAGTTAGCATACAGATGCATTCGTAGCTATAGAGGTAGGGTGCGACTTCAAATTTTATCATGGTATATAATTTTGATGTAAAATATTCTTAGGATTACGTCAAAATCTATTTTTATATCTAATTATGAGATTTTAAATTTTAAAAATGGTTAAAATCAAGTAGATCTATAAACATATGAAAATCTTGAAAATGGACGGTGTAGATAATATGTTGTAAAATGCACTATTTTTTAGACTTAAAATCTTTTTATTTTTCATGGTCATACATCTTGATATCGAGATGATCAATCAAAGGGTTTTTCAACATTAAAACTACCTTTTTCGATCAATTTTTGAGGTACATCCGTAGTTCTACATTATAAAGTAGCATCCTTATATAAACTTTTTCCATTAGATTTATACAGTTTTTGAAAAGCATATTATAATTTTCAAAATATAAATTATAGAAAGGGTGCGGTTTGTATAGAGCTGAGGCTCTAAACACTCAAAGTAAAGCACACCTTCGAATGGTGTTGAAAAATATCGTTTCAATACTGAAAATCTTTATCATAGCCTTAAAATATATTTTCATATCTAATTATAGAATTTAAAGCTTAAAAAATAGTGTGGAACAAACATATCTATGAAAACTTGAAAATCTTGAAAGTTGAATGTCAAAAAATGTGTTAAAAGATGCACTATTTTCAAAACTTGAAATCCATTTTTTCTCATGTGTATGCATCTTGATGTCAAGTTGATCAATTTGAAGATATTTGGGCATCAAAACAACCTCTTCTAGTGAAATTTTTTATATAGGCTCTAATTTGGTTGTTTAGAGCCTGAGGTCTATGTAAACCTTTTCCTTATAGTAAAGATACATTTGCTTCGTTTGCGCTTGTTTTTACTCTCTCTCTCTCCTTGTAAGAAGCAGTTCCGTGGACCTATTTCTTATTCACTTCTCTTTTTGTTTTGCACCCTCTCCCTGTGACTGTGACTGGTAAGTGAAAGCAGTGATGGTTTTCATTTCCAGCGGAGATTACTTTGTTTTGCTCTCTCTCGATTGTGGGGGTAGTGAGAGAGAATATTGAATTAACCGTTGAACTTAATTTGATCGAGCAAGAAAAAGAGTTGAAAGGACACGGTAGCTATGAGTACATGTAGAAATGAATCACTTCTTAAACATCTATTTTTTGACCTATTTTTCAAGGACATGCAGTCTCTAAAGTGGAGATCGGAATAAATAAATAAATTTTTAAAATTAAAAATAATATTCTATTAAAAAAAAAATCGGACCCTTGGTTTTAATTATTTATTATTTATAGATGGACGACCTATTTGTTTTATACCTCGAAGACCGCAAATGTAGAAATGAAACAATTTTCCATATGTATTTTATAGAAAAAAGTTGCAACCTTAAAAATGTAAAATTAAAGATGCACCCCAAAATCCATCGGAAAATGTTGTTTTAATGTTGAAAAACTCTCTAATTGATCATCTTGACTTCGAGATGTATGAATATGCAAAAAAAAATAAAGATTTAGAGTCCCAAAAATAGTGCATCTTGCAATACATTATCTAGACCGTCCATTTTCTTGATTTTCATATGTTTATAGTTCTATTTCATTTTAAATATTTTTGAAGTTTAAAATTTTATAATTAGGTATAAAAATAGATTTTCAAATAATCCTAACAATTTTTTTACACCAAAATTATATGTTATGATAAAATTTGAAGTGCACCTTAATTGGATTTTTAAAGGTTGCAACCTTACAGAAACAATACCCATACTTATATTAAAGATGACTGTTACCCATATTTATATTAAAGATGACTGTTACTGTGGTCTATACCCCATGAAGGCAAACCTCGTTATCTGGACAGTACATTTATTGCAACAGAGACCCCACATACTCCAAAATTCATTAACTCACTTGGGGTTAACTGTGATGCATTAATGGATCTTAAGATTATCCAGAAGGGTATTTTCGTTAAAAAATACAACCAGCGGCGAAAGGGGTGTGACCGAGGTTTTAAAAATTTGAGACTTGTTCCTACTAATCCAAAAAAAATAAAAAAATCAGGCAGCACAAATTCCCCTAGCGAGGTGTTTTAGCATTAAACTATAGACAGCTGTTTCTCTAGTGTCTTTTCCATTTACAGGAACCAAGTAAATAAGCAGGGTGAGACTTTTTTGCCTGAAAAAACTGAGTCATTATTGTGATAGTTAGCCAACTAATCCCTTGCTGGGTAATGAAAGAGTGTGGTTATTTCCTCGAAGTTCATAACCCTGTTCAAACCACTCGGCAGTCCCCTTTATCCTCCAAAGGCTCTAGGTAGTACTTGTACACTAATAAAGAAGACTCTAGTATTTGTGGTTCAGAACTTGACATCAAGGAGACAAGCACATATGAATTGGGTGAAGCTCAGCAGAGCTGGACAAGCTCATGAGATCCTCACAAAACAAGGATCGAATACAAACTCGTCAACATAAAAAGCGATACAGCAAGAAGGAATCATCAGTTAAAACGTGAATTAACCCCAACCAATGTAAGCCTCACCCTAAAAGAGCTCGTTCATACCCTGCTAATCAAAATGGGTCATTTGACCTTATGGTGTTGGGGTGAGACTTAAATTAGTTAGGATGGATCAGCTTCGGGCCTGTGTCCAAAGCCCGAAGACTCGGGTCCAGGTATGGGTGGCAATGGACCCAGGACCCGACGATGATACCCGACCCTGGTCTAAGTAAGGGTCCAAAAATTGGACCTGACGGATTGGGTCGATTCCAAATATTGGACCCAAGCATTACTCGGGTCTAGGTCCATGTAAACTTGACCCAAATAGTATTATTATTTAAATAATATATATATATATATATATATATATAATATTTAACACATTTATTTTTTTATTTTGGGTCAGGTCCAATCGGGTTTGGGTCTATGAGGCATAATTTTTTTTTGGGTCCAGGTCCGGGTCCGACCCGGACCAGACCCAACCCCTACCCAAGCCTGATTGGACCCTCGACTTCCTATGTTATGTATTATAGAGACTCGATCAAGCTGGACCGCACCTCTTGGAACCCTGGCGAGTCCAAGCCTAAGTTCATGTGCTTATCAAACCACCAGTTATGAATCACTGACACTGCTTTGAAAATTATAGAAAACCATGCTTGTAAAGGCTTCATCAAACGACCGGTTATGAGTACCCATTGTAACTAATGGCCTGAATGTGTCATGTAAAAGCAATTCAAGGAAAACAGTTGGTGAAGACCAAGAAAAATATTTAGTACTTAGTAACAGTTAGGCGAAGAATAAACACTGAAAATCAGAAAATTAGAATCTTAAGACAAAGCCTAGAATTTCCAAAGAGCATTCAGCTAAAATTTGTTCTAGCTTTACAAAACTTAATTGCAACATAAGAAGAAGAACCCATTTTGTTATTACTCTTTGAATTTAAAATCCAAAAAAAACTGTTTAAGGGGAATTTTTTTTTATCAATTTCAGCAGTTTTGGAATGCTATCAGTCACTTTCAGTTTCAAATAAGATTGAGGAAATACAACTGAATTTGTTTGCTTCTCTATATTAGAAATTAGGGATGAAAGAGATGGCATAATCTACCACAAAGGGAAGGAAAAAGAAAAAGAAAAGAAGGAAACAGAAGGCATTGAGAATTCAGCTGCCACCTCCATTTTATTAAAGATTACAGACCATAATATAACATTCTTTCGAAAACTCAACAACCCAAACCAGCAATCACACACACTCTGCTAAAACCAACAGCTAAGACATGCTTCTCTTTATTCCTGAGAACCAGTTCCAAGCATTGTTTTACAGAGGTGAAACGACAACAGTACTTCCTCACTATAGACTTAAGCAAGTAGTTCTTACATAAGCTTCCATAGTACTCCAAATCTCAAAGTTTACTGGATATGTTAATGGTCCTAACCTTGGATTTACGGTTGGCTTCTTTGGGCACAACAATGGTGAGAACCCCATTTTCAACATGAGCCTTTATCTGATCCACTTTCACATTATCCGGCAATGCGAATTGCCTCGAGAATTGGGGTTTCCCTCTCTCCATGCAATGCCATATGCTGTCCTTTGGAGGAGCTTCCTCTTTGTTTCCCTCTCCACTAACATGAAGGATGTTACCGTCTTCGACCTGAACCTTCACGTCTTCTTTCCGAAGCCCTAATCACACAAAAAATGGCATCAAATGAGAGAGAGAGACAAAGACGAGATGCAGAACAATTGGGGGGAAGAGAGAGAGATGTACCTGGAATATTGAGCTTGACGATATGGGCGGTGGGGGTCTCGAGCCAATCAGCAGAGGCGATATCTCCATGGCCTTGTGGGATGAGCCTGAACATGTGAGGATTGGTGTTCCAAAAGAAGCCTTTCAGGGGATGATCGCTGAAAAATGGATCCACCATTGATATGGATTGATGAATATCCCTGCTTCCTTTCTCTTTTTTCTACTTGCTCTATGAATAAGGGTTAGCGAGCGAGCGAGCGAGACGAACGATTGGTAAGGGCGTATGAGGAAGGGCCTATAGAGAGAGAGAGAGAGAGAGAGAGAGAGAGAGAGGAAGGTTAGTTAACGTTGCTCTCCACCGTCGAGTTCCAGAGGATTCTATTTTGTCTCGGCCGTGCGGTTCACTTCCGGAGGCTTCCATATACACTCTCTCCCTTCTCTCTCTTCAAATTGGACTTCGGATTAGAGGGAGAATTATGCTGAGAAATAAGATTTGTGAGGGAGTGTATACTGTCTATTTACTCCTTCAGGCCAAACTTTTAGGACCGATACTTGGGGATATGACCTTCTGGACAGTGCTATATTCAATAAAAAAGATTTTTAAAATATATTTTTTATTTTGTACTAAGACGACACAATTATTTTTACTCATTAGATGTCAAATTAGATGGTTTGAGATGAATCACGAAGTTTCATTTTTTTTAAAAAAAATTTTGTGTCTATTGAACAGCACTTTTGCAACCACTTAATTTAAAATCTAAAAAACAAGAATGATTGCGACCTCTTTAATAATGGCTTGAAAAAATTTAAAGGCTTGAAAAAATTAGTCATAAAAATATCTAACTTTTAAAAAGTAAAATAAAAAATTTAACATACAATTTTTTTCTTCTAAATATAATCACCTAGGGTATTTTTTTTTTTTTTTTTTTTTGGGGGTTTTCCAAAATTTCAAATGGTTGACCTTCTACCCAAAGAAATAAGTGTACAGCATACTCCTGTGGGAGCATAGCATAAGAGATTTAGGGAGAACCGTGAGCCTCTTTTCTTTCTCATGCCATGGGTGTTCTCTCACTTTGGTCATAATTGCCTTCAACTATCAAATGTCAAGTCCATTAGATTGGGAAGGGTCACAATACATGGGTATTCTCTTGGGCAAAATTGCCTTCAACTATCAAATGTCAAGTCCATTAGATTGGGAATGTCACAATTCAAGATATTTTTAATAAAATTATGAGTTTCATAGATGGTACACCGCTAGCCACTAGATTTGAAATTTAGTGACCACATATGATTTTGACCTCCTTATTGCATATTGCCTTGATCAATTCTCTGTGTTGGTTTGTGTTGAGATGGAGTGAAGCCTATTTCGCTGCTAATGAATGCTTTATGTAGAGTTTTAAAAAAGGCAACTCCGATCGGAATCACTCAATCCAAACAAGGAAGAGGTGATGACAAACGTTCTCATCCAAACTAATTATATACACATTCAAAAAAGAAGAAGAAGAAAGTATACTTGCAAATCACCACTCAAAAATTACAGTCCTGCTTATTATACGTACGAATCACCACTCAAAAATTACAGTCCTGCTTATTATACGTACGAATCACCACTCAAAATTAAAGATTAGAACCATAAAACACAAAAAAGAAAGGAAATTCATTGAACCACTTTGAAGATGTGCACTATTTAACATTTAATTATTATTTTTTCTTAATTATACAAAACTCTCAAAGGAGAGTGCCTGGTTAAAAATTGTTCAGGGGGCAGTTCCCAATTTTGTGTTTCCAGGGACATAAAAGTAAATTTTGAGAATAACTCATTTGACATAATACCAATCTTCCACCAACTAACCATCATATTGAAATCGTTGAATATCGATGTCTCACTAAATCACCTTGAAATCTTTGAATACTAATGGCTTATGAGTCTTAGGCTTTCATCAGATATAGGTGTTTTTTTTTTTTTTTGGCTAATTCAGTGGGAAAGACATGCCCTACCCGTTTTTTCATGTAGATTAAGAGTTAGATTTTTGAAAATATTAGCAGGGTGATGTTAGTGGTGGGAATGACCACTTTCACAAGATATAGGTGTTTCTAAACACTAGTATCTCGCTCCAAATACCTTGATAGATACAAATATATTGGAAGTGTGTTAATAAATACGCTACATCATGAGGCATTCGTGTTTTTGAAGGCCAATGTTTCACTAATTTGTAACAAGTATTTACATTTTAGGAAAATTATACAAAGATTCCATTTGCTTTTAATACAAAATAATCGCAATTAATCTTGACTATTGGATGTAAAATTGGGTGGCTGCATATATTCTATTCACCAAGTTCAAAGTTCAAATTTTTTTTTCTCAAACTTTATAACCGGCCCAAACCGTTAGATTTCAAGTCAAATAGTTATAAATAATTGTGACTTCTTTACACCAAAAGTAAATGGTCTCATTGTGTAAAATCCCTATCGAACCATATTTACTTCTATAATAATATCGCTCATTGGTAGTTTCGTAGAGTGAGATAGTCGCATCAAATAATACGAATATCTCACATTTTTTTGAACAACTACTTCGATAATGATGGAAGCAAAATTGATCATTGCCTCTCCATCAATTCTTGACCCCCTATAGGTGCTCAATGGCGTTTCTTGATGAGATTTTCTAGAAAGGGTGTGGTTGCAATAAGGCTGCAACCTTAAACAATCCAATTAAAGGGCACCTCTATCATAAATATAATTATATTATAAATTTTTTTTAGGATGACTTGAGAATCTATGTTTATCTCTAATTATAAAACTTTAAACTCTAAAAATGGTACAAATCATAAAGATCTATAAACACATAAAAATCTTGAGAATGAACGGTCCCAATAATGTGTTGCAAGATACACTATTTCTCGTACTCTTAAAGTCTTTTTTTCCTTTCATATTTATACGTCTTGATGTAAAGATGATCAATCAGAAGGTTTTCCAATATCAAACCAACATTTATGATGAAATTTTGAGGTGCACCTTTAGTTCCACATTTAAGGTTGCAACCTTATATAAACTTATTCCTTCTAAAAATTGGACAAAGGTAATGGTAAAATATTAAATAGGACAAACCCTAAGAATGAGGAGTTTAAAGAAGCGTTTAAAAACCTGCTTGGTCAACCCAACCGGCCATTGGGCCTCTGAGTCGGTTCGGCCAGTTCTCTGAGGAAATTTTGTACGGAAATCCCACAAAAAAAACTGAACCAGTGGAACAGAGTCAAGACCAAAGGTTTTTAGACCACGACCAGCACCCTACTGATTATGAGCCAGCTCGCTGGTTTTTAAAACACTCGTTTGAGTAAGCTCTCTCTCTCTCTCAGAGACTCTTGCTTAATAATGACATCTGGTATGCACCACAGAACCTTTTCTATGAACCTGGAACTTCTCGAGTCTCTCTCAAGAACCGGGTCGACCTACCAAAAAAGACTCATGCCTACCTTCTTTGCAAAGCCAAAACACCATGTCCAAGAGGCCAAACAGTATATTTCCAAACTTCCATGTAATCTATAAAGTCATAAAGGTTAACTTGTTTTTGGTAGCGCAATTTAGTGAAAAAAAAAAATGTTAATCTAATGACAAACATCAGCTCTCATCCATTTTCCTCCAGAAGTTCTTCTGTAATTGATTATGCAATTCCATTGTTTCCTTTAACATGACGTACCTGTAGTTTGTCTCCAAACTTTTTATATGCAACATTATATTGTAGTTATAAATCATGCGAGTTTCTTGAAAATATTAACGTTGGCATAGAATACTGCTTTCTTTCACTCACTCTGAACTAGAGATAATCAAAATGAATAAATCAAGGTATGGTACAATACCAGCCAGATGGGTATGGTACAATACCCACTCAGATGTATTCATTACTGCCAATGAGCGACAAACATGAATAAGCAAAAAACTCACTAAATAGGCCAACAAAGATGTTCACAAACATACATTACTTGCTATCTAAATCAATCAAATTGAAACATCTGTTTCAGTTTGCTGGAAACAATTCTCATTATCAATGAACAAGAGATAATAATTAGAATAAATACCGAAGGGAATATACCAAAAGGACCAGATTTAGCGAGAGGGTTCCTGGTATGGGGCAACAATTCTAAGCTCATTGATCCAAACTTGGTTTCAGATCGTTTGGGCCTGCATATAGAGATTATCATGACAAAAACTACTCCAAAGCAATACAAGAAATGGGCTTTTGAAAAACACAATAACTTGAACACTAATTTTCCACACTCTTTGTGGTCTTTATTTCTGATGTATAAGGGAAAGCTGAAGTCGTGCAATTCTTGTAGAATGGAAAAAGAATAAGAAAAGAAAACCAAAGTACCCCTCATCCACAGGAATTAGCCACGCCAATGGCTAATTTCCATTAAAAAAAAAGACATGCTCTCTATGCCATTATCTAGAATTACCTAGCCTGCAGTTAACTCTCCACTCATGCAATACATAGATTGAGCAATCAATAATTAATAAGAGAATAGCATATCATGAAAACCAAAATTAAGGAATCATGCGGTAAAAAGTATAGTATGTATTGCCTACCTGAAAAGTTTCTTAATAGACTTCCAGAAGGAATTTCCTGCGTTAATCTCTTGCATGGGAACATGGTCTCGTGGGCTTCCTTTCTTTCTACTGGCTTGTTTCCCTTGAAGGCTTTCTGAATAAGTGCACAGTGCCACAACCATAAGTTATATTTTGAGGAAGGGAAGCAAACACAAAAGACTCTTTCACAGAAGCAAATTGCAGTACCATCTGATGTTTTGGAACTAAATTTACTGGATGTCCTGAAAGAAGCCAACTGTTCAATGAGCTTGCGCTCTTCATCACTGAAGAGAAACGAGAAAAGCAGAGTTAGGTATATTATGGCATATAACAGGTTGTGGGATTCCTCTTTACATGGGGTTCCTTTTACAGAGTTGTTCACTCACATATTCCATGGAATGGAAATTGCTTCAAGTGCTGGAAAATCGAAACTGATCTAAGCCACAGTGGAATAGTTATTAGCAAAATGGTGAGCAACAGAGAGCTTTAACTTGAACCTGATATTTTTTGGGATGACAACATTCACTACAAAATGATGATCGCCTCGATTAGAGGGTTTCTTGAGATGTGGAACACCCATATAGGGCATCTTTATTGACTCCCCAGGCTGGATTCCTGGAGGAATTGTAAGCTCCTTCAAACCCTCTACAGTCTCTACCTGAGATGAAGCGCAAATTTTGATATTAGAGGAACTCACAAACAATACTCGTCAAAAAAAAGAAAACGAAGTCATGAACAATATTTTAGAAATGTAGTGTCCACAATCATCCATAGTTTCATGAGCTGAAGTAGAGGTGGTGATAAAGAATGAACTTCAGCAAAATGATATCTTTAAACATCTCATTCCAAAATAGTTGCCTTTTATCCATTTAAAATATCAGTACTCTATACAAGAAGCACTTTAACTAAACACCAAAATCTTCACACAAATAAAGAGAGATAAAATAATAAAATACAAAAAATGATCCTGCAGGAAGTAGAAAATATAGCGGATACCATCTAAATCTGGAAGAATAAAAAAAAACACTATATGGGAACTCAGATAATAAAACTTCTTTCAACTCGAAAGACAGATGAATACTGCTCAGAGAATCTTTACAGATAAATTGTAAACAAAGAAAAAGAAAAATAAAAAAAATTATGCAATACTGCAGTTTAAATTCAAGACTCCAAATTAGGAAGCAAAATATCCTTCTGTTTGTATCTTAGTTGAACTGTTCATCTGAACTTCTTGTTTGGCCAAAGGAACTAGCATATTAAAATTTGGCTTTATAGAAATAGAGAAGCAACTGTACAGGATTTGCTTTGCTGCCATACCTAAAATCACTGAAGAGAAAGGTTATGGGGCTTGAGCTGCCAGTTTCTAATGGCAAGGGCACCTGCCAAGAATGGTTGTTTAGAAAAACCTTCGTCTTTCTTCCCTATTCCTTTTCTTCTCTTTCTGGTAGACAACTTTGGTTTGTACAAGGGACAAAAGATGATCCTTTTACCTCCCTATACGCCCTTTTAGCTCCATATAAAAACTGGGCATTAATACAATGGACCAAAGGCCATAGGAAAAGAAAGAACTTCACAAAAACAGGATATTGCATATTCAGAAAATTGAAAATCAGGATAAAGGCTTTGCTGGCATTCAATATTTTGGGATTGGATATTATCCTAATATGCATTTTCTTGTGTCGGCATGACTGTTTACCTACATATCAGAAATTTCATAGATTTGAAATTTTTGATGGGTAACAAACTTCGAATTTGTTAATCTTTCTTATTTGGGACATGTTTGATTCGTTCCTAGCTTGTAATCTCTCGCTCTCGCTAACCTAGAGGTGAATGCCATTCATTTAAGAAAACAGAAATCCAATGTTAGAGATGGAGAGGATTCTACCCTCAGAAGATTGGAATTCAATCCCATAACAAAGGCCCATAGTTTTAAGAGGTTTAACATCAGAGTTCAAATCTAAAGGACCCAATGTTCGGAATGCTGGGGTTCAGTCAGAAAACCAAGATCCAGATCTCACAAACCTGTGGCATTTGATGTTTTTCACTTAAATGCGGGTTGGAATGTTAGAAGTGGAGAAAATAGGGTCGGAACCTTATTGGGGGCCCTTCGAAATCCCCCTTGTCCCCTCAAACTTGTTTTCCAGCTGTGGAAAAACACTAGTCAGATTCACCGAGTCCCGAGAGACTAGGGGAGGACTTGGGATTCGACCCGAGTCCGACCAAAAACTCGCCAAGTAGTTATAGTGACTAGACAGTTTTTTTCATTACAGAGTCACCATCCTCTGGAACTGGCACCTTGCCAGTTCCTGTTGACTCAGATTAATCTGAATTCGACTCGCGTAGTTTTAAACATTGATTTTCTTCAGAAAGTCGAACTTTAGGGAAAAATAATCTCTGAAGTCCCAAACCCTCAACAGTAAACCCTAGTAAATGCGCACGTGGACAAAAAGTGGCATTTGACAGACTGGAAGAAATGTGGATATCCTTCAAATATTATTCGGCTTTTAGAGAGAGGTATGGGAATATTAGGTGCAACCAGAAAGAGAAAATCGTATATGCCCAGAGAAAGAACTAGGTATATTGAGAGAGAATTATGGGATATGCTGACAGATGGGGAAAGAAATGGGAGTATGTGTTGATTGGGAAGGTCGAATATGAGGGAAGTCGAGAAATCAAATATAACAAGTAGTACACAAATTTAACCTGTCCATTGCAGAGAGACCTCATACAAGATAAAGTACATGACTTTTTTTGTACAGAAAAGTACATCAAGATAGAATCCATTACAAAAAAAAATCATTGAATTTTGTTACAATTTGCCTCCTGAAAAGCTTGTTCTTGCAAGAGATTTTAAATGTACCGAAAGTATGCAATAATAAATTAATCAAAATCTGTGTTTTATTATCAAGTCCTTGCTCAAAAAATCTTAATTAGATCCTGTTTGTTGCACATATCTAAAATCTCGTACCATAACCATTTCATAACTATGGGTCAGGTCAAAGCAAGTTAAGAGTCCATTTTATCTGAGTTCCCATAATTACTTTAGGTGTAATTTCATATCATTATGACCAGCAAACACTAGTGATCAAGGTAGGAAAATCGGTAAGCAAGTAACAGCAAATGGGCAGCTACAATAACTTGCAAACCCCAGTACATTGATGCTCAAGCACACTTCTACTGCCAGAAGTACACAAGAGTACAGAGAATGGTTCCATCCAACTCACAAGTTTATAGATGCAATGCAAATTACCTCGACTATGGTCCCAAGAAGAGCCTCTGTATAGCCAATTGTTATATTCGAGTACAGGTTAAGACCTTCCCTTTGAATTCCAGGCTTTTCATTGATATGGAGATATACATAAAGGTCGCCGATTCTTCCCCTGTACACAACAATAAATCTTAAGGACGTGATATTATTTTGAGCTACCTAATGTCAAAGCTCACATCGTATTTTTTTTGTTGAGAAAGTTAACCTATAAACTTCACATCGTATTGTCGACCAGCAAAAGTGAAAAAGCAGGAAACTCTCTCACAACCAGGAAAACATTATGCAAAACCCACAAGAGGAGATTTAACATAGATCACATCTCATCAGAGAAACAGAGAAAATGAAGTTCAGGTGCCTCTATCAAAAAAGTTTGATCATGAGATAAGAATGGTAATAGAAGTACAAAAGATACCTAACCATCAAGTACTACAAGTCCAGACACTTGGTAAATATCAATCACACAGTTGACTATGCTAGCATGTTGGGCCCAGAAGTTAATAAATCCCACCCCAATCCAGCTAATTATCTATGAAGTTTTTGGAAAGAATTAGCCAAAATCTGGCAAGCTTAGCTGATTTTGCGTTCATTGTAAGGTTTGTAGCTATTGGAGGGTCCTTTACGTTATTGTACCCTAGCAAAACAGCAAGGTTTATGCTGGGTATTTTGGCCTTCAAAGGCCTTTTCTCCGGGGGCTTTCCCCCATGTAGAGCGGCCATGCGATATCGCACATCCCAGTTTTGAGTGACCGTGTGGATTAGTCAATCAATGAGCTCTATGTTATTTAAAGTTGTGTTACTCATGCTTTTATGATTACTCCAGGGAGAGTGGACCCAGAAAGAGTGGGAGTATTGGACTCCATGGATGAAAAAGCACTGCGAGTGTTGGGCTTTACTTGGATGGAGGTCTTTGAAGCAAGGCTTTACTTCAGTATAGAGCAAGCATGAGAACGCTATACTCAGATGAAAGTGGCCAATAGAGCAGGACTCTATATGGATTAAAGTGGCCATTACAGCAGGTTGGAGCTGGACTCCATCTGGGACATCTAGGCTCCATCACTCTTGCCTGGGCATTCTATTAGGGCTTAGCCAGATGGAGTGGACCCTCAACTTGGGCTGAATGGGATTACTATCTATGATGCTCATTACTTAAGAGATCCACAGGTACCCGATCCTGAGCCAAGAGAAACCAGTACACTCCTGTGGTGTAGGATGGTGGCTTGTGAAGACAAGTGATTGAAAACCTCGACATCGCAACCTACACAGCATGCGTGTTGCTAGTTTCCTCGGGTCTTTGTGATCCTTGAGAGTTTTGGGTCTGTGTAATCCACTAACATGCATATGCCTGAAAGAGGACTCCTCACATCTTTGTGATCTTGTGTCTGGTCTTTGTGATTTGACTAGACCTTTGCGATTGCGCTTGTCCTCAAGGAGGTCACCCCAAAATCTGTATCTACACTGTGGTGCCTCTAGGTCTTGGCTAGCGTTGATAGGCCAATCTGAGCTCCTTAAAATGGAGCTATGTGGATCATGAGTGTGTTGGATTGGTTAGTGGTCTACGTGTGACTAAAGTATAGTCATGGAATGCCTTGTTGACGATCTTGTTTCATTGCTAGCCCACTCTTCCAATGGTTTTACATGTGGCTTCTCAAGTTTTAAGGAAAATAAATATAGTTTTATTTTCTCTTTTTAACAACCTTAATTATGCATGATGAATTTTGTTTTAGAACACAGGTATTTCAAAATAAAATTATTTTCTAAAATAGGGATAGTTTGAAATCTATTAATTCTTTACAGAGAATACCAATTTGAGGGTTTCATGGAAAATGAGTGGAGCACAGGGCGTGCACGATTTTGTGGGCCTCATGTGGGTGACACAGCAAGAAAGTCATGTTGACCCCACTTGCCATGGGGTGCCATGTGGCCTGCAAATCGAAAGAGAGAAAGTGCATGGAAGTCCTTGCTCTTCTAGGTAGTGTGTGGAGCCCAAATTTGACTTTTATGTGTAATATGATTCTGAGATTTCCAATGGTGGTTAAATTTGGTTAGTTGCAAGGATTTCGAAAATACAAAGTTGGATAGGATTGGATCTTCAAGAAGATTTCCTGTTCACATAGGAACTATCACATGGAATCTAATTATAATATGGAAATCTCTTGGAATGGTCCGATGGAATCCAACTTGGACGATAAGATTGTTGGAATGTCATTCCTCCTAATGCTGAAAATCCTCCTTGATTCACAATGGATGGCTAGTATTTAACCACTCACACCCAACAATATCTCCTATTAGATGTGGAAGTCAAAAGTCCAAAGGTCAATACAAGGTTGTAGCTCCACACTCCTATGACACATGGTCATCCTGTGTAAGAAAGATCATAAGGGATGGGGCGTGAGGCTTCTAGGATTCTTTCTAGGTGTTGATCACATGATTCACAAGCGGAGGCTGTACCATGGGATGTGATAGGCATGGAAGAAGGCATGCTCCTCTTTCAATCAGCATGCAAGCAACTGGCGTTTCCATCTCCAAGTGAACTTCTTTGGCTTTCCTTCATGGCAAATAAAGTTGATGACTTCTGTTATGAGCTGAACATGATCATGAAAAAAAGGTATCCAGAGCAGGGTTGTGGAGAGATAAGTTACAACAGTGAAGAACATGGTGCATGAAAGGAGAAGATGGTGTGTGAAGGCCAAGTCTCGAATCTGCAAAAGCTGCAAGACTGTTAGCGCAAATCCTCTTCCAAGTTATCCATGATTAAGGCATTCCTGAGATCAAACAGTGACTGTTATAGTAGCAAAAGGCATCAAAAAAAGATGAGGAGATTCACCCATGAAAACCATGGTAAGCACAATCAGGCCTGTGCAGTACACTTAGACTGCCATCTAGGGGCATCAAAGGCCTAATATTGTAACCACCACACCATCCCAGGTTTGAGAAGGTATCATAGGCCTTCAAAGAGGTTTCTCCATGTTGAAAACAGGGGAATAACCTTCCCCAAGTATGGTCATGAAACAGGGTAAAGGAAAGTGTTCTCCAGGGCTTCTATTGAGCATGCAGGAAGAGAATTTGTTTCTCTATGGGCTGCTGCTCGTGCTTGAGAAAGGAAGGTGTTTTCTGTGGCTTGAAAATCGGGGAAGATGATATTCAAGGGCTGTCACATCAGAGAAGATCAGAGAGTTCCCAGAGGTGCATGAGGGAAATTGGCAACTGAATCAGCAGGCCGTGCATGCTTGATGATGAGAAACCCTAGAGTTGAAAAGTAACCCTGGAGAGGATGGAAAACCTTATAAGCCATTTCCCTCATGGTACTTGAGCTAATTTTGAGTTGAGTTGGTGACTATCCCTGGTTCCATGCACCATCAATCTGTTGAGATCCAATGTGGGGTGAACCAAGTCCCAGGGGTTGACTTCAGGCAACTCTAAGAAGTCCACTGTTTTTGTTAATTTCTTTTTGTTATTTACAAGGTGGGAATATGGATGCAACCAGATCCTAATAGACTATAAGTGTGTTTTTTTTAAAAAAAAAAATGTTTTTGCTGTAGAAACATCTATTAAAGAATTTGGTAGCATGTGCATGGTGGGCTTGCCAATACAAGCAATAAGAGTAGTTAGAGAAGTTCTCCGGAATTCGGTATCTAGCCAGCACCACTACAACTACACACATTTAAATATACTTTATCTTCATCAAAATATGCAATATTATCCAGTATGGTATCAATATATTTTGCAATTTAGATTTAGTAATCAATTCATGAAGTTCTATTATTGCACTTTGGTTCTTCAAAACCAGAGGACCAGTAGAATTACACCAATATTAGATGAGAAAAATATAGAAAAAGAGAATATCAAATTTGCTTTTGATCAACTAGAAAAAAGGTGGTCCCTATTAGCATTTCCAAAAAAATCCCAGTGAGATGGCTCGGGCATACTAGTTTACATAGTGGCTAGTTTAATGAACAACTAATCTTTTGTCCACTTTTTACTCCATTTCCAAGTATTTATGTTATATTTGCAAAAAGTAGGAATACTACAACATGAAGAAATATGAGACACACAGTTAACCTGGCCAAATTTATATACCATATCACAGAAGGCAAACAGAAACGAGGTGCCTGAATTATACATAAACATTGCATGGAAGGGCGTCAAGTCGATCAAAAGCCTGCCTTTTCTTATCAAAGTGTCCTTCTCCCTGAACTTGAATGGTCATTCCGTCACTAACACCTGCAGGTACCTCTACTTTGATAGTTCGCTTTAGTTGAACCCTACCATTGCCCTTACATCTATGACACCGATCAATGATCACTTTGCCCTCACCACCACAACTTGAGCAAGTAGATACCTAAAAGTCAAAATATGAAAAACTTTATGCAGACTAGAAACAAAAACTAGTTAACCAAACAAAACAAAAAGAGTATTAATGTTCAGCAGATTATAAAGCAACAGGACAAATTAAGGTCTTAAACAAAAAAGAGTGTTGCAAAATCATAAACTAATAGGAATTATAGCACAAGCATAATTTCATCACACATATCCACAACCAATCATCACAAGTTATAGGATGGAGTTCACAGATGCATAGTGTGAACTAGACTGGTATAACGGATAATGCTTTTTCTTTTTTTGTTTTCTTTTGACTCTTCGTATAATGAATAATGTTACACCATTGTGCTCACTAAAGGGCTGTTTGGATACCTAGAAATATATTGTCTGTGAAATACATTACTAGCGTAATACATTACTGTGTAGTACATTATCTGCAAATAGATTGTTACTGATTGGGTAGTATTTAAATGCATCCTCGGAAATACATGGCTACTGTGTGGTTATGTCTGAAAGAAATATGGGAAATTCATTACCAACATTTTATCAGCACTTGCCCATAAACTATCATTTCTTTCTTTTTTTTGTCACAAAATTCCACTGAAATGTGGAATTAAAGTCATCATCACATAATTCCAAAAAGATTTTCTAATAATAACATCATCACCATTCCAAAAAGATTTTCTAATAATAACTTGTACCATTCTAAAGTCATCATCACACAATTTCTTACTTATTTTGCATGCCGATGGCACTTATATGGAATCATATGTCTTCTCACATGATTAGACTTTGGTTTCAACATGATAAGTCATTGGAATAATATGATTGGAATAACATGTTTTTATTGTGATAAGCCTTATTTTTATTTATTTTTTATAGAAGTCTTTCAAATTTCTATCTATATAATTTCAAATAAGAAATAAATTTATGATACCAAATTAAAAATCTTTATGGTACAAGTTAAAAAATGGGAAGAAGTTGGATTAGTAAACTAGATGGTTTGGTAATTGCAGTATAAAATTTTGAGGTATTGGCGGATTATTTCAATTGAGCTTTTACTAATCTCTTATGAGGATTATGTTGGGTGAAATTTTTTATTATAATTGTGTTGTATAATTTCTTATGTTGAGTGAAACTTTTTATTATAATTGTGTTGGGTAATTTCTCATTGATTAGATATGCTAAGGAGAGAGGGAGAATGGAAAAAGTACAGATGAGAGAGTAAGGGAGCTTAAAACAAAAAAAAAAGGAAAAAGTACAAATGAGAGGAAGGGGCTTAAAAAAAGAAGGAAAAAGTACATATGAGAAGGGGCTTAAAGATAAAGAGGCTTAAAAAAGGAGGAAAAAGTACATATGAGAAGGGGTTTAAAGAGAGAGGTTATTAGGGTTCAAGAGAGAGGGGATGGGCTTAGAGAGGGAGGGAGCACCTATGAAAACCGAGTAGGCGGGTTGGCATTTTATTAAGCTGAGATAGGGCAGAGAGACGCACGTGAAAGATTTCTAAAGATTACCTGTCAAGCATGTAATAGATTTTCACCTTTCGGTGCACGTAATGTGTTTCATGATTTTTGGGGAAATCTCGGGTAATCTCTTTCTATTTTCTTACTATAAAGTGTACCCAAACGGTGGAAATGTCATATTTCCTCGTAATAGATTGTCATGTAATAGATTTTCAGGTACCCAAACGGCCCTTAAAATATATATATATATATATATAACAAAGCACACTATATGGAGAAAATATTTGCACCAAAACTTTGACTATACAAGACCACAACACTTTAAAATCATTGTTTACAAACCCAGCGGTTTAAGCCTGGATTCGCCTGGCTCACCCAATCAGGTCCACCCCCAAGCCAACTTAAAGAAAAGTCGTTACTGGATTTGATCATTTTTAGGGTCCCGTACCTGTAGAAAGAATGGAACTCAAAACGTCATGTTGTGGCATCCACCCTAACCACTTATGCCTTGAGTCCATTTCTACTGGGTTTGATCATTTTTTTCCAACAATAATAGCCTTTACATTATAAAATTCCTAAAAATTAAAGAAATACCCATCTGATTTCCCACGAGGTTGCTGGGTCCACAAAAATCCATTGACACATCAGCACTTGAACATGATTCAACTCACACCGAAATTCCAATGGCACATGGTTGACTTAATAGTCCACATATGATGTATTTTTCACGATGAGAGAAACAGCTAACGATGTCAAGTCTGAAGGACATCGGAAAGTAGCAAGCACAAATTGTCTTCAAAAGAGATCATGCTAATCAACATGGCCAACTTTTATGTTGCCATTTAATAAGTTTTAAACCTTCAAGGAAAGTGTTGGATGGATTCTAGGGTGCCATAAACTCCTAATTCAATAGAAAAGATTTCGTAGTTTCAAGCTTGGAATCAAAGAAGTGAAAAAAACGACACTCTAAGTGGGATATTTTGGTCCCAAAGACCAAGGTGCATATTCACTGATGGTAGAAATGATTCTCCAAATTTCCAGAATAAGGCTCAAGAAGCTGTTTGAAACCATATAAAGATTTATGAAGTCTATAAATAAAAGGTACCTATGAAAGCAGAAGTATTGCTGGTGGATGCAAGTTCACTACATAATAGCAAAACCTGTTCTTCACAACAAACAGAATACATGCCACAACTACATGGAGAAGGAGCAAAAGTCACCTTATAATCAATACAAGCCTGTTGATTGAATCCCTCTGCAACAAATCGTTTGTTCAATTGATCCATGAACAAATCTGTTCAGTCTTAATTTTAATAACCCACTCCCAGCCATTGCGTCTTTTCCAGGAGGGATATGAGTGAGAACTTTTGTGTGATTCCACTAAGAGGTTTCATTGTTCATCGATTGTTCCCAGCAAGCATAAAATACTGCTTGGTATAAAGAAGGCCTAGAAATGAGTTTCAGGGTTGCAAGAAAGGAAGAATATGAGGAGAAAAACATGGAAAATGAATATTAAAGACATGGTGTCTGGTCGTAATCTTGTTCAATGTATCACAAAATAACCCACCTAGGTGCCCCCTAGGCATTGGTGCCCTAAGACCCTGCCTTGTTAAGACCGAGCGTCGTATGTGGGGTTGTCTAGGCACCACGTAGGCAGCCACCAAGCTCCCCAACTGACGGTGGAAATAGGCCCTTGAACAAGGGTAATAATGGTCTCCTCCACCCCCCACCCTCCAAACAGAAAAAAGGGGTGTACAAGGGTTTTGGAGGAATATTTGGTGCATCGAGGTTTTCTCACTTGTTTTATTACATTTTTAAAAAATCAAAATCAGGCTAGGGGTTGTTTGAGTTTTAATTTCTTTGGCTATTTATGTCATTTTTTGTTGTAAAGAATTTAGGGGTAAAATTGAAATTTTTAAATTTGAAAAGTGAAAGGACCGTGCTTTAATATTGATAAGTGTTTATTTCAAAAGCTAGCCTTTTAAGGTTTCTTTTATAAATATGTAAGTTTTGGACAATTAAAAGAAGAACAAGAACAATTGAATTTTGTGTCTTGCAAGGATATCTTTTTGTTTTTTAGGTGAACCCCTTTGAAGTCCAAAGAGAGAGGGTATATTCTCTCACCCCTCACCCTTCTTTCATATTTTTCATTTCTCAAGTTTAGTTTATTTTCTTTCACCTCTTCCCGACATCAATATTCTAACCCCTCAAAACCCATTTGTAAGCATTTAGAGTAAGACAACCCTTATAAAAACAACCATTTGAGTTTTTTTTGAAAAATAAAAAAGAATAGAAGCAGGTTGAAAATTAGACAACAAGAGGTGTAAACAAGGTGTTTCACAACCAAAGCATACCAAATTTGAACCAACTTTGTCAGGTTTTAAAGGAACAATTTATTTTGATTTTGAGATCTTGGACGTTTTGGTTCTATAACTTTTCTAGTATGGATTTGCATTTCTTGAAGGCTTTTTTCAAGATTGGGTTTTGGTTTAATGAGTTTTAATATGCGCTTTTTTTTTTTTAGTTTCGAGTTTTGATTTTGGACCGTCTGGTTTTGTAAATTTTTCTAGTATGGATAACATTAACCACAAAAAAATGATTCCATTAACCAAAAAAAGAGGAAAAGGATTATTATTCTGGTGAGGAGGGGAGCTTGAGGTGGACCTAATTACAACAAGTAGGTAAGGGGGGTTTGGACAAAAGAAGCATTCGCCAAACTGCTATCCAGAACCACTTCTCTCATAAAGACAGGTTTCAGGTACGCCAATGCATAACCTTATCCACGTAATAACAGGGCATTTCTTTCAATGCAACTAGCTTGAAGAGCTACCAAGCTGTGTTGGAAGCAGTTTGGGCCTAGATTGAAGGGCATTATATCCTATGGGCTCAAGAAGCCCCTGCTTAAGACGAAGGTGGATCTTACAAATAAGTATCTGAAGGCATAGGGATGCATGAGGGAAGCACAGGATGTCTATAATGACTGATTCATGAACTGATAGGCAAGGAGAAATATCATAAACTTTTTTTTGAAATATGTTAACTTGAAATATCATAAATTTTATAGTGAATTCTCCAATAAAGATTATGTTTTTGAAGCCAATTGACACTAAGAAAACACAAAATGAAGAGTTCATTTTTCAGCACAATGGACCAATGCATAGAGGTAGGCATGCCGTACGTTTTTTGGACGCACTTGGCAACACATTGCAGCGACCTCATGCTTGAGGCGATTAGTGAGTTGAAAAATGCAAGACTTGACAACCATGAAAGCAAGGGCATTACTGTTATCATACACAACCACACACAACACATAGCTATGCTGAAGAAGGTCAATAGAGAAAAGGGAGTTGGTGAGGCCAGGGATGAAGAGGTTTGCCACTTATTACTTGCCACGTCGGCTTAACAAAACAAGCTCAATACCATGCATGTCTTTGAACAATGAACAAAAAGCAGGTGGTCCAAGCATGTTGTGCGGAAGCTGGCCATTCACTACTCCTACCCCTAAGCAAATAAAATGACTCAAGAAATAAATAAAAGACATAATAAAGGGACAGATTCAACGACTATTTTGCACTTTTGCTATTGAGAACGATATTCTAGGCCACATCCCATGCAAAGGGGCAAAGGGGTAGAAGGTGTCTGAGATTGTTTTGCAACTCATTTTGCAATGGGGCGGTCTACTCCAAGCATTCAATCCTTTGGGGGAGGTGTTGCACTTGTGACTAAGAAGAAACCACCCATGAGTCATATTTACAAGGCAATAGACATTGGTAAGGAAGAGATAGTGGGAACCATGAGTATAATGGAAAACTATTCACCAATTTGGAATATTGTGGATAATAAGCGGAATATCCAAGCTACATTGGCCCTCGTATGCAGCAGGGAATTTTCTCAACCCTCGATGCTTCAAACTGATTGTGAGATTGATTTCAAGTGTTGGAATATGGTTGCATTTAACATGTGCAGCATGAAAACTCAACATAATAGAATTGAATATGTATAAGTTCCAGATGAGGAGGAAGGCAAGGACTAACCTCTATCCAGCTAACTTTAGTGCTTACTTTTAATTATGCCTTTGCGATTTCAAAACTTGAGGTACATAATAGTGATATAGTATAATACTATAACAGTGATATAGTAATCATCATCATCATCAGAGCCTTTTCCCAACAATTTGGCGACAACTACACGAATTCTAGTCTACCATTCTGCCCTATTTAGGGTCATACCCTCAGTGAGGCCATAAGTCCCCATATTTTTTTTCACTACTTCCAACCATATTCTTTGGGGCCAATAGTGATATAGGATAATACTATTATAGTGTATAAACTTGCCTTCAGTAATTTCATGGCTCTCAGAGGTAGCTCTATAAAGGGCCACAGATGGGGTAAAAGCCAAGCCCTTACAAAGGATAGCCTTCACATATTGAACATGACGCATAGCTCATTTGATTGTGAATGCAACTTTAGCTCATTTGATTTCATAATGTGTTAACTTAAATTTTTCTATCAAACCTCATAGGCCCTAAGTTGCATTATTTTGTTTGAATCCTACATTCATGAATTATCCAATATCCATATGAAAAAGAGAAGCAAACTCGAGCAAAAGAGACTAAAGGAAATTATTTATGGCAGAATTGAAGATTAAAGGAGTGCTACCAAAAGCACCTTTCAAATGTTGTATGGCTGATTAATATATTATTTCAAGTGCAGCTTTCAAGTTTGCGCAAGTTTCAATTTTCCAAATTTCTAACAATTCAAGTTCATGTCTTCTAGATTTCTAACAATTCAAGTTCATGCCTTGAAAATATGGAATGCTTCAACTGATGTTTTTATTTTTTTGATAGATGAAAACTTTATTAAGATACAAAAGAAGCTTATGGGGCTCTCATGTCATATACCCAGTTATAAAAAGATCTCCAGAAGTCTAATTAGCAAGATATAATCAAAGATTTTTAGAAGAATTTGATTCTTTCCAATCAACTTTGGACCTTTCTGCAGAAGTACATAGAGCATAGCACGCACAATCAATAACACAAACAACAATACTCCATAGCATTAACAACAACACATTCAAGAGAAATAATTGAGATAGTCACAATGGCAGACAATTCATTTGTTATACAATAATATTGTTAATATAATCTAAACATTGGGAGGAACCTGGAATTCAATTAGATTCATATAATGTTGACAATTTTCCCATGTCAAACACTCAGCAATCGAGCATCGTGATAACATAGATGCCACCTAGAAACGCAACTATGGCGTAATGACTCGAACCAAAAGAGAATGAGTTCAGCAATCCACTGGAGCCTTAGAACACTGATACACAGTAGTGAAAAAATACTAAAGCAAGCAATTTGTAAAAAGTTATCTCATTGGATTTATGAATTTAATGTAGATAATGTCCTTGACTCGTTAGAGTAGCCTCCGTTCAATATTTAACACACTGAGTTTTGAAATAGAATCACAATTTTGAATTATATATTTCAGCTATTCAGTCATAGACGGGACTTTTCATTTATATAAAGTCACATGACAAGAGAAATAAAGATACATTAGTGCAGAGGATGAAGTGCACAATCAAAACACATACTACTTCTCAGCCAAAGGATAGAGGGTGTCATCTTTGAGATAATAAGTTACAGGAATTCTAAAGCTGGCAGCTCATCATAGATTTCTTTTGGGCTTGCGTATTTAGTAGAGGTGTTGAACATGTACGAACTTTGGGCGAAATGCCCCTCAGCAACTAGCAAACTAAATTAATCTTTCACAACATTACACAACAAAAGAAATAACAAACAGACATCCTCATATAATTTAGTAACTTTGTTTCAACCACGAAAAAGGGCACAAAGTTCCACCAAAAACATACTATAAACGCAACAAATGTAAACTGTACTTTAAACTTTTCCAAGTTCTCAAATGTAGATTTACCTGTGACACTACTCCAAACGAGGTTCTTTGTGATTTCATTACACCTCCACTGCCACCACAAACTTCACAGATTCTTAAACCACTGCTAGACTTTGCTCCAGTACCATTACAATCATCACATGTTTCAAAACGGGAAATATTAATGTCCTTTTGTACTCCAAATATGGATTCTCCAAAACTCAAAGGGAGATCATATCTGCATCAGCAAGAGGACAATTATATGCAAGTAATCAAGGCAAAGAGAAATCCAATATTTTTGCTAAGATTAGCATGCCAATAGTTGATCACTTCAGACAGAAGGTGCATTTTCACAATCCAAAGCATAAAAAAAACATCTGTTTAAAGAAATGAAACATAAGTCTCCAAAAAGTGCCCAAGGAGCATGACAGTAGATACAAAAACCCCATCATAGTGACCAACTTCAAAAACAGAAACCATGAAACCCAGCACCATATGTATTTAAAACAAGAAGCAAGCTAAAGTAACAACAAACGCTTACAAGGTAATAACTAAGACATAGATATACATTGAGAAAACATATCTGACATAGGATAAAACCAAGTCCAACCACAAATCTGGCAACATGTTTCCAAGTTCAACCACTCATCTGGCTACATGTTTCTATAGTCTACACTTACCCCAGAAATCCAAACTGAAATCCCAACCAAAAAATATCCTCTTAACTTGTACTACAGACATTTCTCAATAACATCCCGCAGGATATCTCTCTTGCCTTGTAATAAAAATTTCTCACCTAAAAGCTCTTGGAAAGGCATTAAGCTTTAGGAAGCCAAATTCCGATATCCACCCTATCAAGGAAGGACGGAAGGATAGTTGGAAAGAATTTTCAAGAAAATAAGACCTCCTACCCAAAATTTCAAGTTCTTGGAATTTCAAATTAGCTAAGGAAAGAACAGAAATCTGGAACATGACACTTCTTAACACCCAAGAAATTGAGAAAATGGGCTTCAAGAAAAAAGGCACATAGGTCAGCAAAGTTCATAGAAATTGCTCTGCAAAACTGTATTGATTGAATCTAGAATATTGGGTGAGAAACAAGAAACAGTAGACTTAGAAATATGGTCAAGTATTTCACAGCTGACAAAAAAATTGTAAATTACTTCACAGTTCACAATGATCATGTCCAGGACTTCTCGCCTTTTGACTTACATAAAGAAATCAATCTAGTTAATACAATGGTCGAGAAGGCTGTTTGGTTCACAAGATATATTCAGTAAAATCCACAAAGGTCACAAGTTAAAACTAACATATTACCGAATATTCGCATCCTGATGCCAGTTACTCCTGAAATTGAAGTTAGTGCCATCTAAGCCCCCTCTGCCGGCAAAAATCCCATTTGATTCACCAAAAAATGATTCAAAAATATCGAAGGGATCCACCTGTGGAAACGCAAACAATTTATTAGCTGCATAATAAGGATAAACTTAATTAATGGAATTGTGGAAACTGGAGATTTCTGTGAGCTAAGGCAGTTGCCCTTGATTTTTAATTCTTACCCCTGATGGTCGAGCACCAGATCCTTGGTATTCTCCTTTTAGACCTGCCTCACCAAAACGATCATAAGTAGATCGTTTTTCATTATCTGACAGCACCTGTAGCCAATAAATTTTTGATAGTATTTAGAAATATATTTTCAACCCGTAATGAATATATTAGTAGAAGCAAAATCCAACTTTCATATAAACAAGGAGTGGAAACAAACACGAGTGACCACAAATAATAAATGAAATCATAATTTGTGCTAGAAATGTTCCACCTGTATCGAATAAAAAAGACTCGAGTGTAACTTATCAAAATATATAGGATCATATGAGGCAGTATGCAATAAAGGCACATCTAGCTATGCATAGCCCAATTAAACTCAGCCAATGACTCATATAAGGAAATCCTAATTTGAACAATCCACAAAGATGATTCATGAAACCACTAAGTCATTTCCCTGTGTTTCAAGAGAATAATCCGCGTGGGTGCAAAGGTCAGTTATAGATGCTTGCATGTAATCAAGCAAACAACACACCTACAAGAGAAAAAGCATTCAAATGGTTTCTTTTGACTTTTGATAAATATTCAAATGGTACACCTAATTAAATAAGATTATGGATGTGTAAACTCCCCAGAGTAACTGATCTATATGTACTCTTGTTGCAGTTTGATGCAACTAGGAATAAATGCCAGTTGACAAATCATCTTCTTTACTCAATGTTAGTAAATTTGCTACCTTGCCTCTACGCAGTCGAGGCAGGCCACCATACCGAAAAAGCCGACACGCCCACCCCTCATGGCCATGTGCCTAGGCGCCTACCCTTTTCCTAGGAGGGCGCTTAGCCCACCTAGTGCTACCTGCTTAAAAGATGCCACTCCTTTTTATTGTTTTTGCTTTTATTAATTTTAAGATCAACCTCCAGGGCCTGATGGGTACCTAATTGCATTTCTCCAAGATTTTTAGGGTATATTGAAAGATTAATTCATATAAATGTTTCAAGAGTTTCATCAAAGAGGTAAATAAACAGAGCAATGAATGCAACATTTATAGCATTAATACCCAAGAAAGAAGGGGTGGAACACATAAAAGATATCAGGCCAATCCATTTGTTTGGAGATTTCCAAAATTGCTTCATCACAGAGGAAAGACCTAGATTGTCCATGATTGATATCCTCTTCAAATTTCAAAACCATATCTCAGGAAAGTCACGGTTGGCTGCTAAGACCAATCCAAGAAGAGTGATATGGGCAGTGGCATTCAATATAGATCAACCTCTAGGGCCCGATGGGTACCTAATTGCTGTTCTTCAATATTTTTAGAGTATACTGAAAGATGAATTTGTACAAATGCTTCAAAAGTTTCATCAAAGAGGTAAAAAAAACAGAGCAACGAACACAAAGTTTAGAGTCTCGATACCCATGACAGAAGGGGTTGAAGACACAAAGGATATCAGACCAATAAGTTCGTCTGGAAGTGTATGCAAAATATCAATAGAAATCTTAGAAATGAGGCTAAAAGAGGTCCTTCCAGATGTTGTGCAAGGTAGAACCAGAAAAAAGGTCTATAACTATGTTAACTGGTCTCTTCTCAATAAGTCAACGATATATATGGCATTTGGAGATTGATGGAGATTGGAGAGGGTAGGTCATGGGAGGCATATCTCCTGTTCCCTTCTCAATCTTCATAAATGGATCCCTGAAAGGATACGTTCCAAGTTCAAGGGGATTAGGACAGGGAGACCCCCCTTTCATTTTCCAATTGTAGCAGTAGGTTTCAGACTTATAGTTCGATGCTAAAAGGGGTCTACAATAATGAGATGATGACAGGATCCAACATTGGTCATCTGAAACACGCAGATGCTACACTGATTTCCTGTGGAGAGAAAATGAAGAATATGTACCTATACTTGACATGTTTTGAGGTAGCCTCTGGGATTAAAGTGGACATGTCAAAGACTAAGTTGGTGGGTGTATCAGTCCTTGAAGAAGAGTTATAAGGACTAGAAATATGTGTAGGGTATGATACATATGAGTTTTTTCTTTCTTGACATGTCCAAAAAAAGGCACACATGGGCTTGCCACAATTCATAGGGAAGGCAAGCAGGAACGCACAATTGGGAGCAGTCCTTGAAAGATTTTAAAGTATCTTTGAAGGTTACAAATTTATCAATGGGACAAAGCATCACCCTCATCTCTACCCTTATGTTCGACAATTTATTATATATCTATGTTTTTAGTACCTTCTTCAGTAGAAAAAGACATTGAAACGCTTGGGGGATTTTGTTTTGGGGAACCCCACTGAGAACAGAGGTTTCATTTGGTGAGGTACAATAGTGTGTACAAACTGAGAAGTCAATAGGGGCTAGGAATTAGAACAACCAAATAAATGGATTGGGCACGTAGGCTTGTGGTTATGGACGCCTGCATAAAGACATGGAAGAGAAGGGTGAAAGTAATGGGTGTCCAATAACTAGGTGATAGAATTTAAAAAAATGAGAAAATGGACTTATTTAGGGATAAATTAGTTGATCAAGGAAAATGGAACACTGAAAATAATGTCAATGTAATATAGAATGAGATGGCTGACTGTATCAAGAAAGTGGCAATTGGCAAAAGAAGTTTTAGGAGAATCTAGAGGGAAAAGAAATTCCGATAATCAAATTTGGTGGTGGAGTGATGAGGTTAAAAAGGCCATTAACGAGAAACGAGAAACGATCACGTTAAAAACTTGACAATGTAATAGAAATGATCAAAACTTAGAAGAATATAAAATTGCTAAGAAAAACGCTAAACAAATAGTAAGTAAACTTAACCTTAAGGCATATGATAATCTATACAACAAACTGGGAACAAGAGAACCTGAAGAAATGTCTTCCAATTAGCAAAAATAAGAGAGAAAAAATGTAGGGATCTAAACCATATTAAATGCATTAAGAGTGAGGATCAAAGGGTCTTGATGAAGGATGACAAGATCAATGAAAGGTGGAGAGTTTACTGCCAAAAACTTTTAAATGACGAACACAGTGAGAACATAGCGGTAGAAGGAACTGTTGGTATATATGATGGCGGAGGTCATAGATACCTTTGTAGGATTAGGATGTCGGAAGTGAAAGAAGCTTTGAAAAGGATGAAGATAGGAACAACTTTCGGACCAGATGGTATCCGGATAGAGGTTTGGAGTGCATGGGGGAGATTGACATTGACTAGCTGACGAAGTTGTTCATCAAATTGTTGAGAACCAAGAAAGTGCCAGACGAATAGAGGAAAAGTATTGTCGTCCCGAGTTTCAAAAACAAATGAGACATAGAGAATTGTGCGAACGATCAAGGGATCAAGCTTATGAGCCATACTATGAAGCTCTGGGAGAGAGTGATTAAGCAACGACTAAGGCATGAAACAAGTGTATTGGAAAATCAATTAGATTTTATGCCAGGAAGATCAACAACCAAGGCTATTTTCCTACTTAGACAACTGATTGAGAAGTTTAAGACGAAGGGAAAAGACCTTCATATAGTCTTTATTGATCTAGAGAAAGCCTATGATAGAGTACCTCAATATTGATTTGGCGGGTATTGGAAAAAAAAGGAGTCTCCAGACACAAAATCAAATTGGTGAGACATATGTACGATGGAGCGCTAACTAGTGTACAAACAACTAGTAGAGAGACGAGTGGGTTTTTAGTGACAATAAGTCTACATCAAGGGTCAGCATTGAGCCCGTACCTATTTGTTTTAGTTATGGACGACTTAATTAGGTACCCATAGGATGAGGTACCATGGTGCATGTTGTTCACAGATGACATAGCTTTGATCGATGAGACCTGAAACAACGTCAACACAAAGTTAGAACATTGAAGGGATGCTCTAAAATCCAAATGTTTTAAAATTAGCTGGACTAAGATAGAATATATGAAATCCAAGTTTAGTAATAATAAGAGTAGAGACAAGGAAGTAGTTAAGATTGACGGCCAAGAAGTACAAAAAAGACCACACTTGCGATATCTTGGGTCGATAATCCAGGAAAATGGAGAGATTGAGGAAGATGTCGCACACATAATTAGAGCTGAGTGAGTGAAGTGGAGATGTGCAACTGGAATTTTATGTGATTGCCACAAACCTATAAAGCTGAAGGGCAAGTTCTATAGGGCAGCTGTGAGACTAGCTTTGATTTATGGGGCGGAATGTTGGGCAGACAAAAACCAACATACCCATAGAATGAGTGTAGCGGAGATAAGGATGTTGAGATGGATGAGTGGCAAGACAAGAAGGGATAGAATTCGAAATGAATTCATTCGAAAAAATTTAGACGTGGCACCAATCGGTGGCAAGATGAGAGAGAGTAGACTTCGATGGGCTGGCCATGTATGGCGCTGACCCAATACAATACCTGTTAGAAGATGCAAGTTAATTGAAGTGAAAGGATTGAAAAGGGTAAGGGGTAGGCCTAAAAGGACGTTGTTGGAAGTAGTCCGAAAAGATATGGGGACTTATGGCCTCACTGAGAGTATGGCATTTAATAGAGCAGACTGGCAGACCAGGATTTGTGTAGTCGATCCTAAATAATTGGAAAAAGACTATGATGATGATGATGAAATAAATGGATTGGGCAGTACTAGTCAAATGATGGTGGAAATCTGGATATCCCACATGTGAAAACAAGATATCAAAAGCAAATATAAGGCACACAACTCGGAATGGTCCGTGAAGGTGCTAGACTATTAGGACGGTGGAACCACCTTCAGTACCAAAAAGAGAATTCAGATCATAAATTGGAAGAAAACAATACTTGGGACCGAAAAATGCTTCGGGGAACAACCCTGAGTATGTGCGTCCGAGCTTTTCCTAGTAGCCCAGAATCTAGTGGAGGGGCTGCGAACAGCTCGGTACCCCTGCCTCAGGAGAACCCTAAAGGAGAATAAATAGAAGTATTCAAGTACATGTTGGCAGAGTTACATGGGCTCTTTTCTCAGACCAGGCAGAGAAGATCAGCTCATATGGTTCCCAGTTCCCACGGGAGAATTTCCAGTCAAATCAATGTCTCGAGTCATAACCTGGTGTTCAGAGGCAATGTCATAAACAGAGTATGGAGTATTCCTGGGCCTACTGAGAAGCAAGTCCTTGTGCTCATAATCCTTGATAAGGTGATAACTGTGGACCATATGATACCTAGAGGACTGATAATACCTAATGTATGTCTACAGTTTCAAAAAATATAAAAATAATAATATATGTCTAATGCCCAAGACGGATAGAAAAACAGTCAGCTGTATATTTCTACATTGCACCTGGGCTACAGGGTTGCAGACTTTGGTATTGAAGCAATTCAGTATTGCATGGGCACAACCATCAGCAATTAGTTCACTCTTTATACAGTGGTTTACCTACCACTGCCCAAATAGGATCAATAATGTCGTGGCTGACAATACGAGCAGTGCCATGGATGATAAAATTAGACAGGAACAGATGATGCTTCAAAAATAGAAAAATATAATTTTGAGTAGAACATCTCAGATACTAGTTACTTCCTCAAAGGGAGATTGAAAAGAGCTCATGGCCTACCAAAAACCAGTGACAAGATTAAACAGCCTCCATCCCCAGCAAGTGTGATCAAGCGAAATTTTGATGGAAGTTCAAATAGCAGCATAAAACATGCTGGTATTGGAGTAATGAAGGATTGCCAGGGAAGAATATTGAGAACATATTAAGGCCCAGTAAGTGGACAATCCGGATGAAGTAGAGGCAGGTGCTCCCCTGCTAGGTCTTTAGAATTTGGACCGTGGATGGAGTTTAATTAGTATAGAGGGAGATTCCAGCAACATGAACTGGTAGGAAAGTATCCATGGTTTTTATATGTGTGCGGAGAAGTATGGGGAAGGTGTGCTCGACAACATACATCCTTCAATCATATCGGGCGAGAGATTGATCGAGACGCAGATGTCTTGGCTAAGGAAGGAGAAACCAAAAGGAGCTCATAAGTAGAATTTCAGTGTATAGTTCTCGAGCCTCATGTACATAGACCCAGTTTTGATTCTTTTCAGTCATCATTACTCTGACTTTATTTTTCAAAAAACCGGGAAAATTACATAGGTAATGAAATTTAGCTACCAATCAAAAAGAACAAAAAGAAAAAAGAAAAAGAAAAAGAAAGATGCCTTATACATTAATTCATATAGAAAATGTGTGCAAGAAATAAAAAAGATTATGTAATCAAGATTCTGTCTTGTTTTGTAGGATAATGCAACAAAGATGAGATCACAGGAGCAATGAATCAAGGTATTTTGCAATAAGTTTTACATATATAAACATAACATATAAGCCATACATAAGGTCAGAGGCCAGTGTTTGAATACCTCATATGCAGCACCAATCTCCTTAAACTTCTCTTCTGCTCCAGAGCTCCTATTCAAATCTGGATGATACTAAAAAATAAAAGGAATCCAACAAACAAGGGAAGCAAAAATGAATTCTTTTTGAGAATAAGCAAAAATGATTTCTTTTGACATTAAAAGAAATAAAAAAGCTTACGGGCCTCCTGTAAATTATGATAAAAAAACACCTGACGTAAATTTTAAGAAATTTTTTTCCACAATATAAGAAGGTAAATATTTGAGAACGCAACCCATTGATTCGAATTAACCAATTGAGATCAGCGTAGTCTGTCAAAAAGTGAATTAGATGGAATGCATCACATCCACTGAACTATCCAAGCTAAGTTTCTTGCACTTCCACTTCAATTAGTCCACGACAAAGGAAAATGTAAACAGCCATGCATTTGTAACTTCTGGTGTGTGTGTCTTACAATGCATTTTTATACGAAACAAGTCCTTTTATGGATAATAGTAAGCAAGACACTGAATATGATAATATAATTTGACTTAGATCCAATCACCAAAACTTCTTGAGCATCAAAGAAATATGTGCTCATGAATAATGAGAAAAACCGCAGCTATTTCAATATTTGCCGTTATCTGAGCTAACTACACCTTGAAAACTCAAACTACACCTCCAAATAGATAATTCTTGCACAGGCAAGAAAGGAATGGCATCAAAATTGTCATTATCAAAAACCAAAATTTAACCAGCACTTTCTCCATGAGAAAAAAGGCCCAAGAATAATCATTTACTATCAAATCCATTACATACCTCACGGGCAAGCTTTTTATAAGCACACTTAATCTCTTGCAAGGTTGCATTTCTCTTAACGTTAAGAGTTGAGTAATAATCAGAACCGGAAGCCCTAATCAGGTTTAATCGCTTCTTCCCTTTCAAAGCGAAGCGTGGATTTTGAATTCCGACTCTGTTTTTGAAAAACCAGGTAGCTCCATAACCCAATTCGAAGCTCATTTTATGAGAAGAAGCAATGGAGATATCGAATTTGAGCAGAAGTTTAGGTGAAGCTTGTTTTGTTGACAAGCGCATTTTAAAAAACGGGGAGTTATGATGCAGAGCGCTGAAGCAATAATTGCTCGCCATTATAGCGGACTTGTCAGTGAAATAGGGCCCGAGTCTTCATAAAGAGAATCAATTATGCCATGAAACAGCTCTGGCTTTTGGTTAAAACCTCTGTAAAACCCTAAAGAGACGAACCGCCATTTCTGAATCTCTTTGGCTGACGGTGTCGTTTATGAAGAAGCATGCTATACACGATCGCTGACTGTTCTATGGTACACGAGCGCATACGGTTTATGAATGAATTTATGCTTCGAGAGTACATGACGCCACAAATATATGAACGCAAAGTATACTGAAATGCACATGTCTATGCCCAATTAGTGGTCGTGACGATAATTACCGTCAGTCATTATATTTTACGGTGATTGGAATGAGATTGTACTTTCCCGACAAATTTCCGTTGTCTATTTAACTCACTCATCACCGTCCACCCTTACATGGACGGTGTTAGGCTGCATGACAACTAACTTTCCGATTTGAATTTGAGGAAGTTTCGTGCTTTCTATTTTTCCCATCAGGTCTGAGGGGCGAAAACTTCTTTTTATGTCAGAAATTATTTTTCTCTATTTTGTGTACAAAACAACGAAATTGTTTTTCTCCATGAAAGCAAAAAAAATGATTTTATGTCAAATTTTCCTGCAGCGCAGCACACAAAAAAAAAAAAAAAATCAAAACAAGCAATATCTTATTCTCTCTCTCCTTGTTACCCCTCTCTCTCTTCCCCACCAATCTATTTTTCTTTCTTCTTATTTTTAAAAATCCTTACATCTTTGTTTCTCACATCTCTCTTTATCTCTCCATATTCATAGAACTCTCTTTTTACTTTATCTTGCTCTGGTAATATCATTCTCTCTATCTCTACCATGGTTTACTCTCTATATATTCCTTGCATTTGACTCTTTTCTTTGTGGAAATGTATCCGCCCAGACTGCATTCACTTGAGATGCTGTCCTATATTTTTTTTTTTTTTGGAAAGAAATATATTTCGCAAGAAATAGTTTTCATGAACAAATTATTCCAATGATCCAAATGGGACAGAAAACTAATCAAAATACTACTACTGAATTGTTTGACATCTTGTCTCGAATTTCAGTTTAATAATATATTTAACTATAAATTTTCCATGTTAAATTAATCATTGATTAATGGGTGTGGTTTCTATAGGGTGGCAACCATAAACAATCTTATTAAGCTGCACCTTCAAATTTTATCATAACGTGTAATTTTGAAATAAAATATTTTTAGAATTATCTAAAAATCTATTTTTCATATCTAATTATAAAAAATTAAACTCCAAATATAGTTAAAATCAAGTAGATCTATAAATATATGGAAATCTTGAAAATTGACAGTCTAGATAAAATGTTGCAAAATGCACTATTTACGGGACAAAATTTTTTTTTTTCATATTCATACATCTCAATGTTGAGATGATCAATTAGGTTTTTCAATATTAAAACAACCTTTTCGATGGATTTTTGACGTGCATCTATTACATTTTAAGGTTGCAACCTTATATAAACTTTTTCCTTAATTAAAAATTCTAAAAGAAGAATTTTTCAAATTTGCCCCTCCACTTCAAAGTTAATCGCCTTTCAAAAAAACCACTATGGAAGACACTTCACCAATTATATATCCATCCATCTATTATCTATCACTATCTACGTTGTAACTCTATATTAAGCCAGAAGGACACGTACATTACTACATGTGTACCTCTCTCTGTTTTATCTCGTTCTAAGATACAATTCAACAAGGAAAAAGTTTATATAAAGATGGTACGTTATAATGTAGAACTATGAATGCCCCTCAAAAATTCATCAGAAAAGGTATTTTTAATGTTGAAAAACCATTTGATTGATCATCTCGACATCGAGATGTATGCTTATGAAAAATAAAAAAGATTTTAAATATCAGAAATAGTGCATTTAGAACATATTATCTACACCGTCTATTTTTAAGATTTTCATATGTTTATAGATCTACTTGATTTTAACCATTTTTAAAATTTAAAATTTTATAATTAGATATAAAAATAGATTTTGAGATAATCCTAAGGACATTTTACTCAAAATTGTATACCATAATAAAATTTGAAAGTGCATCTTATCTCTACACCTACGGATGCATCCGTATGCCAACTGCACCTTTCAACAATTGTCTCTCCTTTCAAAAGTTTCAAAGTTAAAAGTTCCCACCTCTTTAAAGCCACATTTGCCAACAAGAACTTTGGACCCATGGCATCCCAAATTCCAACTTACGCCCTTAATTCCAAGTTTGGTTAAATCTTTTTTTAAGATATAAGAAGTGCGCTATTCCGAAAATTAAGATAGCGGCCCGGCCCAGCCCAGTCCAGCCCGGCCCACCCGACCCCATGGAGAGCAATGCTCCGGAAGCTCAAATCTCAAGAGCGTCGGTACGGGTAAAAAAAAATTTCCTCCATTCCATCTCGAGTATTTTCTTTTCCCCCATTCGCTTTCAACTTTACGCTAAACAAGCCAGCCTTTGTTCGCCCCTCTGATCTCACAAACTGACAAGAAGCGATTTGATGATCTTGCACAATGGCTAGCAGTGATTTAAGGTCTGAATCTAGAAACTAAAGAGAGAAAGATAAGGCATCTGGTTCTTTCTGATCTCTCTAGAGAGAGAGAATTTGGACGTTCAAGAAAGCAGAGAAGCAAGCCTTAAGCCCTCTTTTTATTGACGCCTTCTTACAAAATCTCCAGCCGGAGAAGTCATTTGGATTTCCAAGAAAGCAGCTAGGGATATTGAAGGTTGTTGTCTGATCGTTTTCAAGTTGAGCTCTCCTGATTTGTGATTTGAGGATTTTATCGTGTTTTACATGTTCAAATTTTAATGTGTTTTCTCAGTTTCATGAAACTTCAATGATGAATGAATTAGGCTAAATTTTATGACAATGAGATTGAATTCACGGGAAAGCATGACGTTACAGTTGAGTACATAACTTGCAATTATTTTGGCCTTTTTCAATTATACAGTGAATTAGATTTTTGAATTTTGTATCATGGACACAAGCCTCATGGAAAACTATAATCTAGAGCCTCAAAGGATCACTAGACTGAAGTATCTGACAATAGTGTAGATTCCACTAAATTGGAGAAACATATATTGGAAAGCTGGTTACTTTGATCTTGTCCTCTTTGCAAGGCTGCCCATACCAAATCCTACGTTACTTGCTCGTTCAATACTAATTTATGTGATTTTAGAAGGGTATGTTAATTATTATTATTATTTTTTCTTTTTAATATCGACACTCTTTAACATTTCAATTACCTCATGTGTCTGAACGTAAACCTGATGAACCAAGATAAAAGAACTTTGACACGCTCATCCAAGATTTGCGGAATCCATAATTTTGCCCCAACATATGGTGATTGCCATTTTCTCATGTAGAAGATGAAAATGAATGCTTGGAAAAACTGCCCAACATGATTTCTAATCTATTGCCGATGAACTAAATATTCGATAAATTAATATTACCACCAATAAAAAATTTTATGGATTAAATTGGTTAATTATCTGGTCTACAAGTTGACAACATCCACATGGTACCAATCACATGCATAACAAGCTTTCAGTTGTCAGCCCTAAATCTCTTCAACAATCTCTCTTTAAATTAAATATCTCAAGTAGTCTCTCTCCTCTCTCATTTCTTTATCCCCTTTCACTCATCCCTCTCATTAAATTTCTGTCTCTATCTCTTCTTAAATCTCTTTCCCCCTCCGCCTCTCTCCCTCTTTTCTCTCTCCATGGAACCTATCTCTCTCTCGGTCTTAAATTTTCGCACAGTATCTATCGCCTTTCACCTCTAAAGTTTCTGTGTGTGTTTGTATCTACTATCTTATTTATTTTATTCAAATTTTTCCTTCTTTTTTTTGCCTTCCAGATTTGGGTTTTCAGCCAATATATCAATTAATCACAGATTTGTGAATGTTATCAATATTTAAACACCCTTAAAAAGTCATGTAACAAAATGAGTTTCTTTTATTTGTTGTGATTGGGTACTATATTTTATTAAATTATATTTTATTAAATTTATGTTGACCACACTAACCACTAAGCCGAGAGCCCTAATAACAGTAAATCAATTTTTTATTGATTAAGTGAAATAACAACGAGAATTTAAGGGAACAAGACTTTCTTTTTTAAAATGGGATCAATTTTTATCAAAATACCTTTATTTGCTCAAGATTCCCAATCTTGAATGGATAATATGATCATGTTCAACATTTGTTGAAGAAGTTCCTGAATGAAGTAAAACTTTCAAAGTAACCATTGTACATTAGAATGGGATGATCGATCACCATGGTAGTTTTATAAGATGGTTGACCATTTAAGAGATATTTTCCCTATTTCTCTTACGGGATTCATGGATATTGTGGATGAAGCTTGACGCGAACAACATAACAATATGAAGTTTTCCAGGAAGCAAATTATGCTGAAATTTCCTTCCTAGTTCTAGGTCGGCAATCTACAATATTTAATTGACTTTTGCCCAAACTTTACCATGTAAAAAGGTTGTTCTTTTTAATGGAGTTGTGGCTCGTTTTCTTCCCATGTCCATGTCAGTGTTACAGCCACTTGGTTTGTGTTGCTGCATATTACAAGATTTTTTTTGAAGGCGAGAATCCAGAAGCTCAAAGAATTGAAACTTCTATACTTTTGCCATACACATTTCTGGGAAGAGTCACGGTGGACCTAGTGTTTTGAAGGGTTTCAGACCATTGGCTGTGTGGTTAAGATGTTGAGGGCCCACACACAAACCTCCAACATTGGCTTCCAGCTAAATCACAAAAGTACCAAAGTGCATTTTCTTTCATTGAAGCTATTCTCCATAGTGATTGACTAGTATTCATTTCAGCAGATGAATCAGAACGTTGCTCCCTAACTCAGGTATCGAAAACCAGGAATCAGTTCAAATGAACTTACACATTTATGTAGTAGATAGTATTTTAATTTTCCAGGATTCTGTGCCAGTCTAAACTGAGATTGAGAAAAGTTTATTTCTGTAGCCATATAATTAAGAGACAAAAGTCATAAAGATAACAAACCAGATATTACATAGTAAAACGCACTATGGTAGTGGAAATACGCAATATGCTGCTCAAATCTCGTGCAAATTTCCCATATTCTCGATCCGAACTCCTCCAAACAATGCAGTCATTCTCAATAAAACCTTCCCACAAACAACATATATCTGTTATAAGATTACGACAAGCATTCACAGGAGAACAACCAGGAACAAAGACTAATTTCCTTGAGTAGAAATCTCTCAATATCCAAAAGTGCCATGAGCATGATAGGACTTGTAATCAATTTAAAAGGAACAGCAAAAGAAAAATGGAGAGGTAACCCCTCATGCTGATTTCCTCTTAGACTTGACCATCACATACCCAATAAAAACCGACAATAAGCTGAATAGAGAAACCCCAGCAAAAACTGGTAGCAAGAGTGCATATTCCTTGGGCAAGAAGTAGTTATGTATAAAATGATCAGTATCCACGAAAGGCTGTGATATCAGAAGACAAAAAATAAAATCATGTTAGGACAACAAACTTCAGTAAACATTCCTGCTTGCAATCATAGAATATAATCTCACCAGTATAATGACCCAAAATGTGTAGTAAGTGAAGAGGGACAGGCTTATCACACACAAGAGAAGCCCTACGGTCTTGTCCGCCAATTCCATCGTGTTACTGAGAATCCACCAACCTAAAATGAGTCTAGAAATCTTTATCATTTTTATTTCTCAACTGATGCTCTAAAAAATATACCTTTTGTGTAATGGAAAAGATACACAAGAAAGGATGATTGCATAAATTGAACAATGCAAGGATTAGATCTGAAAACCATAAATGACGCTCACCTAACTCAACCATCTCAAGTGGAAGCAGTGGTTCCCAAAAAAAACTGGAATACTAGAAGTTAACACCCTATATATTGATAATTGTGGCCTCTTTCGTTAAGAACTAAGATGTTTACAGCAGTGATCAAGAGACATTTTAATCTCCCAGTTGTACGAGCCTTAAAAGTTTTAACAAAAAAGAAATTATTGAATTGAAGTTAACAATGAATAATAACTTAGTTCCTATAATTGCAATTGGAAGCATTCAAGTTTGGAAGCATAAGATGCCCTAAATGATGCCAGCCTGTAATAATTTAAATATTGGGAACTATTTTTATTTATTATTTCTAAAATATTTACAGAATATTAATGATGAGGATGAAGACAATGAGGATGATGATGATGTGTGTGAGCTAGAAAACTAGATTTTGATGTCAATTATTTGAAGAATCATCAAACAATCAAAAGGGCAGCTAGAAATTATCCACACACAAAAAAATCTACAGCTATGCATTTCCATTTAGAACAGAACAGTTGCAACCCCATTACTCTAACTTCTAAAGCACTTAAGAATACAGAATCATTCCTCAAACATTAAAAGAAACCATTCTGGAAATCTTATCAGAGGCATTTTTCGTTATCAGAAATTCCATCTTCATATGGAAGATGGCAGATGAAATAATCAAGAGTTAGGATGAACCTACTTATAGGCTCCCCAGTGAAAGCTTGAAAGAAGACCTAGAGATTTTAGCTTCTTCCAGATTCATCTTTGAAACAAGTGAATTGTGCAATAAACTCTTTGAAAGTGAAACACAAGACCCGAAAAGCCAAAGGGTCCTTTGTGAACCATGGGTCATTTAAGCAATACGGTTACCATGTCATCAATGGCTTGGATGATGAAGATGACACATTTTTTTTGAAATAGTGTCACCCTTGTTTTACGAATCCCCAAATCATTAGGTGCAGACCATATTTTGGGTTGAAGAATTATAGACACTGGGTAGAAGATGCTGGTGGCCAGACTAGCCCACTTAAGACAACATGCTATTAAATCCCATAATGCCTAAATGCACATTTAGAAAGATGTCTATTTTTCATAGAAGAAATCTAGAGAAATTTTGAAAAGGCGTTATATACTATGGTAGCAGTTGGTTTTCACAAGGTAAGCCAGCAGTTGGTTTTCAACAATATGAGAGTTAAAAAAGTGAGCTACTACCCATCACCAACTCCAAGACAATGGCATACAAGTTTTCTCTTCTAGTTGAAGATGGATTGTCACATGGTTACTTATCCATTTCTACCTAGGATGATAATTCTTAACAACACAAAAGGGAACACAAATTGATGGAGGAAGTTCTGGTGTCCTATAGGGAAACCAAAAGATGGTGGTCCCTTACCAAGATAACCACTTTTGAGATGGGTTCGGGACACCAAAAAGCTCAAATCAAAAGCCCTTACATCAATTGTCATTTTAATGACAGTCCAGACCTAAAGTTTTGTGGCAATCAAATTGAAGCATTTTTGGAGTTTAACAATTTTTTTTTTCCTTTTGCAAATGTTTTTGGAGACGAAGAGGCTGATTGAACTTTGTTTGGGTCTCTCACTCATCAAAAGTGTTTTGTTTTGGAGGGAAACACCATTTCTTAGTTTTCTTGTGGGAACCCTAAAATACATTCCTAAATTAAATTGGGATCTCTCTCTCTCTCTCTCTCTCTCTCACACACACACACACACACACACACACATGCGCACGCGCATGCACCCACAAATACCTCGCAAGAATATATCCGCATGTTTAAATGCAAATTACTAGCTCTTCTATAATAATATTACAGCTTCATTCTAATCTGTTGGAAACGATCCCTGTCACAGGAAATCTGGAAGTATTTGACCACACCAAATGATCAAAAGCACAAATTTTCTATCGAGACAGATGATATTAGAATCTATATGGATCAAAATGCATGTAAACTTATAGTATGAACAATATGAAAAGAAAAAATCAAATAAAATATCTCTTGGTTTCAACAAAGTTTAAGCAAATTCCTCTAAACAGCAAAGTGAGTTCAAGACATGCAAATGAATATGAACTCAAGATTCTACCATGTTCTGAAGGATAAAATATCAAACATGCAACCACGGGCCAATCAATGAACTGAGCGTCTTGCAATTAATTTTACCTATGTTAACCGTAACCAATTGAGTCATAAATAATGTCAGAGGCCAGTGCGCAAGTACCTCGTATTCAGAACTAATATCCTTCAATTACTTTTCTGCTCCACAGCTGAGCTCCTATTTAAATCTGGATGGTACCCAAAAACAAAAGAAATTCACCAAACAAGTGAAACAAAAAGGAAAATCTTTGATAGTTGGAAAGAAAAAATAACAACTTTAAAAAGTCCTTTGTAAATTATTCACAGACTCCAAACAACATATCCCTTATAAAATTTAAAAGAAAATTGTGAAACAATATTGATAAAGTTAAAGTTTTAGCATGCTGAGAATTGATAGAAATTAGCCATTTGCGATCAACTTCTCGCATCAAAAGGTAACTTAGAGGTAATACATCACATTCCATTAATAATTCAAGCTAAGATTCTTAGGCATCCACTTGATTAGTTCAAGACAAAGGAAATGCAAGCAAAACACTCAATTTGTTTCGACTCAGAATTGGACTAAAAATCCCCAACTAAAAAAAGATAATGAGAAAAGGCTTAGCAATTTCATGGTTATCAAAATCCAGTTAATTAAGCCTTCAAAACTAAAGCTACAGCTATAAATAGATTTTCACGCACAGGCTAGAAAGAATGCCACCAAAATTTATCCAAGTGATCCCCAAAACTGAAACTTTACTAGCATTCTATCAATGGATTACGTAGCGTCAAGAACTTTAACTTAAAAAACATTACACACCTTGCAAGAAAGCTTCCTACAATCGCTATTAATCTCTTGCATGCTTGCGTTATCTTGAAACTGGAAGTAGAGCAATAATCAGAAACAGGATCCCTAATTAAGCTTAATCGATTCTTCCTTTTCAAATCAATTTGCACTCTGTTTCTCAAAACCACGAAGTTCCATAAACCAGTCACAGATTATTCGTCGAGAAGAAGCAATGGATAAATAGAAGTCAAGAAGAAGCTCATGAGGCCGGTTTTGATAAATAAGGGGATTCATGGTGCAGAGGTACAATGGTTTGCCATTGTAGAAGACTAATTAGTGAAAAACGGCTCATTGTAGAAGACTAATTAGTGAAAAAGGGTCTCACTCCCAATAAAAACAGTCAAGTCATGGAAAAGATCCTGCTTTTGGTTAAAGTCTCTGTAAAACCCTAGCATCAAACCGCCATTGCTGAAACTCTGGATTTCAAAGAGGGTACCATTTTATTGAAAAGCATACGGTACAGGAGCAAATAGTTGGCAAATCGCCGTTTTTAACAATATTTTTTCAAAAGAAGGCATTTTTTTTTAAAACGTTTAAATCTGCGCTTTTTTCAGGAGATTGGCAAAAGAAGGCATTTTTTCATGAGTTTAAAACGCGTTATATTGAACCGTTAAAAAAACGGATTAAAAAAACTCGTGCTAGGGTTTATCCCCGGTTGAATAGTAGAGGCGTGGGCTTTTATTTATTTTTATTCTTATTTTTTTTAACTTAAAGATAGGTATGAGCTTCATATGGCGGCAGGTTTTAGTAGCTATTGTAGGAAATCACTGTGTGAAGTTCAGATTTCCTGAATTACGATTTATTCTATTTTTTATTTAGATTGTGTTGAACTGTGATTTGTTTGTGATTTTCTGAATTAAATTTTATTTTACTTGTGATTTATTTAGTAGTTACTATGAAAATCACAGTCATGGCCTAAACTTTACACCGGATGGGTTTTTCTATGTTAAAAGAGAAACTTGGCAATCTCATGACAAATTTACCTAATAAATTATAATAAACAAGCATAAAACCATTGAATCAAAATCCCCAAAATTGGCCAGATTTTCATCCGATGTTGACAAAATTCTACCAAAACTCATCCAAATTAGGGCTCAAATAACTCTCAAATAAGGGCTCAAATAACTCAAACAAGGACTCAAAGAACATCCAGATTATCACAATTTACCAAAATCTCAAATCCCTAAGCAAGTTAAAACAAAAGCTTAAAGAAAATCCAGATTAGGGCTCAATCCCCAAACCTAGTTCAAGGCAAAAAAAACTCGGCTAGGGTTTCGCCTCCACCATCGTTTTCCTCATCTTCTCCAGAGATATCAAAGCTTGGTCAATGAGGTTTCTGGCCGTAGGAAAGATTTTGCGTCTCGAGCTATATGTTTAACATGCTCTCTCTGTCTTGGTTGTTGTTATGCGAAGATTTTCTGCTGATTGCTCCCCTGTTCCTGCTCTTCTGCGTTTTGCCCCTCTCTCTCTCTTGCTCTGCTCTGCCCTCTGCATTTGAAACGTGGTGATTAGTAGTTAGTATAAACTGTTTTGGTATTTTACATCAACCTAAGGTCTGAATTGCATTTCACATCAATCTTGGGTTTGAATTTTTGCCGAACATGGAATTTGTATTTCACATCCATATGAGGTTTGAATTTTTGCCGACCTTCGAGAAAAACGAACATGATCAACAGTTTACAGCTTAATTTTTGCTCATGATTGATTTAATTATATTAGCTTCATAAAGTTTTTATGATTTAATTATATTAGTTTCATAAAGTTTTTATGAATACATTATTTGATGGTTTTGGCCATTCTTTTAAAATTTCAAAATTTTGAAAATTTTAAACATATCCAATTTTTTTTATTATGAATTTTTTAGCCAAATTTGATATATTTATGAGATTTTTACATACAATATTTTTACATGTATTTTCACCCTTAATTTTTGCATTCAAATTTTTGGGTAAAAGCCCATTTAATTCTTATTTTATGTTGTGCTGATATAATGATATTCCCCAACTTTGCTGACTATCGAGTATGCGTGATGTGGTTCATGTTACACGAGTAGTGTAAATTATAACGAGTTTGTTTTGAGCCAGAGGCACATGCACGATCACCCTAACCTATTTTGACACTCAAGATTATGCTACATTAGCGGTCACGAGAGTATCGTTAACCAATTTGCAATGATTGGTTGTTGAGGGTACGTTTTGATTCCTATGAAAATGTTTTTGTAGAAATATCTTTACATAAAATACTCCCGGTATGGATTATTTTTAAACCCGATCAGTCCATTTTTATGGTAAAAGTTTCCTTGTAATCACGAAGAACACAAAATAGATATCCAAAATATGGATTTGTGCACTTCTTTACACATTTTACATATTTGTATTCCTCTTAGTTACTTTTCTAGCTATGGTACGCAAACGAAGGGTACTAAATCTTGTATCCCCATCCTTGGCATTACTGGTTAGAGGCCCTTAGTGGTTCCCTCCATGCTTGCTGTCGAGCCCCATCAAGTTGTGTAGAAGCCCTAGGCAAAACTAGCTACAGCAGGTTGATAGGCCCGAGGATAAACTCGGATCGGTTGCTCTTGGGAGTTGAGACACATAAGTTTGGACTATGGACGGGAAAGGAGCTTGAGTCGTGGTGGTAGCACCCCATAGTCTAGTTACCATGTTGTGGTTGCCTGACTATTGTTCATGCTGGATTTGAGAAGGCTAGCTTAGAAATCTGCGTTATAGATATGGAGCAGAAAGTGATGCAATTGAATTAGACTCGGACGATGCCCTCGATTATTTACCGGATTTAGATGACATGGTTTTTTTGTAATGAAGAAGCATCACGGCCACACCACACAAAAAGGTTTAAGAAGTTTCACCCTGTCTTTTTAGTTTCAATGGCAGGCTTTGGGACCTATTGTACACAAGTGAGACTCTGACTACATCAACCCTTATGGCAACACTCCGCATTTTCACAGCAAGGAAATATACAAAGGGGAGGTCCCTTAACCACACATTGCCTCGACCCCGAAAGTTAGGTAACCCTCTGATGTCCGATTAGGGTGATTTTGGGAACAATTACAAATAGTCTAGAGGTGACATACACCAGTGTGGAAAACCAGCACATAATGCGCATATGCAAGGCGTTTCCAACAATCAACAATGACAGACAAATGAGGAACAATAAGAGCAATATTAGAGAGCTTAAAACTCGAGCTAAATTCCGAAGTTGGCCCAATGGTACAAACCACGTTCCCAGCTATATAAGATGTGTCACGTGTAGTATGGTATTCGTCACTGAGAGCACAAAGATTGTTTGTGATTCATATCAGTTTCAAAGTTCTAGTTCTTCGGACCACAAGTGATCAGAGACAAAAAAAGAACTAAAGTTCTAACATTGTTTGTGGTCATTCGTAGGCAGAATGCAGTCTTAGGCCAGGTTCGTGCAATGTATTCTCAACAGGAAACTGAAAACAAACTAGTAGAAAACAAGCATAAACGATAGTATGAGCGGTCTCGATCAAAAAAGAAGGTTAAGTCTCAATGTAGATAAAAACTTATATTGTGTTGCAAGTGACAAGATCCATGTCCCTTGCGGCACGCTAAGTGTTGCTGACAACATGTGCTACATCTTTGCTTGAGATTTGTTTCATGTCTCTCTTTTAGGCATCTATGAACTCATTAACCAGCAACTACTGCAAAATAGGCAGTTTTTACATTGTTTTTGGCTATTTTTCAAGAGAATTTTAGCTTAATTGAGCCCACAGTGAGCACCAAAGTGTTTAGACATGAATCTAGGAAGTGAATATGAGACTCTTCTTTCCAAAAAAAAAAAGGGATTTAAATAGAGACTGTGAATAGAGACTTTAAATACATGAATCTTGGTGAGTTTTTTTGCCATATGACTTAGTTTTATACTTTTTGGATTTTTTTTAGAATGTCTCCAACTGTAAATCAATTTTATTTTAAATATACTTTTTAAAGCAGGTGTAGTTTGTATAAGGTTGAGGCCCTAAACAATGGATTTGGCCCTTTTCAATTGGCCAAATGGTATTTAGCGTAGACTAATTTGGTACTTTACGTCAACCTAAGGCCCCAATTTGTATTTCAGATCAATCTTAGGTTTGAATTTTTGCTAACACATGATAACCAATATAAAGCTTAATTTTTGCCAATGAGGGCAAAGAGAGTTATCACACATCTAAATTGATTGACCTTACGGGTGTGGTTTCTATAAAGGTTGCAACCGTAAACGAGAAGCACCTCCAAATTTTATCATGACATATAATTTACGTGTAAAAAATGATTAGGATTTTCTTAAAATCTATTTTCATCTCTAATTATAAAATTTGAAACTCCAAAAATAATTAAAATCAAGTAAATCAATAAATATCAGAAAATATTGAAAATGGACGGTCTAGATAATGTGTTGCAAGATGCAATATTTATGGGACTCAATATATATATATTTAATATTTTTACCGATAGTATTTTCACCTCAAAATTTTGAGCAAAAACTGATTTAATTATGATTTTTTTAAAAAAATTGATTTAATTTCGATTGTGTGGGGAGCTGATATATTGATATTCCCGTGCTTGCTGACCATGCCCAAGTACGAGTGAAGTGGTCTATGGTGCACATCAGTGTAAAGTATAATTCGTTTGTTTTGAGCCAGAGGCATGCACGATCACCTCCGGCCATGGACAATGGGAAAACCTATTCTGACACTCCAGACTACGCAAGATTAGTGGTCGTGGGAGTCATCATTATCCAATCTATAGTTCTTGCAGTGATTGGGTGTTTAAGGTGCTGTTGATTCGTATGAAATTTTTTTTGTAAAAATATTTTTATGTAAAAGAACTCCCGGTGTGGAATTTCTTTAAAACCAATCGGTCCATTTCTATGGTTAAGTTTTTTTTACAGTCCAAAGAATACAATATAGATCTGCAAACTATAAATTTGTGCACTTCTTTACACATTTTACAAATGGATACGGTTTCTATGAATCCATGGAAAAAGGAGTTCCCTCCTAAAAATTTATTTTTGAGATGGATTTTTGGATTCAAATTTTTAGGATATATAATATGGAGATCACGAATATGAACAAATAAATAAATTTTTTTAAAATTAAAAATTTATAAAGAAATTATTTGGACAGTTAGTTTCAATTGTTTTTAGATGGATCACCGATTTGTATATATGTTTAAGATGGATGCTTTATACTTTGAGGAACAGAATATAGAAATGCGTCTCCTAACTCATGAAACAATTTTTCTTTACAAATTTGTATTCCTCTTAGTTACTTTGCTAGTTTTGGTATACAAATGAAGGGTACTAAATCCTGTATCCCCATCCTTCTCTTTACTTGTTAGAGGGCCATGCTGGCCATCGAGCCACATCAAGTTGTGTAGAAGCCATAGGCGATACCAGCAACAACACGTTGGTAGGCCTGAGGATAAACTCGGGTCGGTTGCTCTTGGGACACATTTCGGACTATGGAACCAGCATGAGTGAGTTCACTATGTTGGGTTGCCTTGTGAACTACCTGCCCGCAAGCCACTAGGGATTCCCCAACCAGACATGCAAACCTAGGTTGTCAAAGAAGCATTTGCCTCCCCTTTATTTGTCGGAGGATGCCCTTGACCACCAGATTGACACTAGCAGGCAGATGGACGGTGCTTGATTTGCCATTGACATAAGTATTATCAAGGTGGAGGTAGGTTGACGCTCTTCATGGTGGTGAGAAGCTTGACCTATCATCGTCATAGTTTTTTTTTAATTAATTAGGATCGGCTATACAAATCTTGTACCGTCATTCAGCTCTAGATGTTTTAATCCTGGTAGATAACTCCTTATTCATCTCTTTGAGAGTCGACTTAGCATTAAAATGTACCTGGCTTAGATTAGACAGTTGCACATCCTCGACAACCTATATGTCGACTTTAGTCTGGCCACGACAGCAAGACTGGTGCTTGTGACCCAAAATTTCTGGAACATCAAACGCCCTGGCTATTTAGGATATTGCAAACTGTGCAAGGTCGACAATCATAGACTTCATAATATGCAAGCTAGGGTGCCTGACTTTCGTTCATCCTGGACTGTAGAAGCCTAGCTAGCATGGACTTATTGTCCAAGGCGTGTAAAAAATCTGCGTTACGGATATGGAGCAAGAGGTGATGCAATTGGGTTAGTCTCGGACAATGCCCTTCATTATTAATCGGACTTAGATGACATGGTTGTAATGATGAAGCATCACAGCCAGACCACAAGAAAAGGCTTAGGAAGTTTTACCCTGTCTTTCAGTTTCAATGGCAGGTTTTGGGATCTACTGTACACCAGTGAGTCTGATTACATAAATCCTTATAGCAACCCATCACATTTTCTGTAGGGTGCTCTAAGAGCAAGGAAATATACAAAGGGGCGATCCCTTAACTGACTCCGAAAGTTTGATACCCCTTTTGATGCCGGACTAGGGTGATTTTGGGAACGATTAAAAATTTCTTAGATGTGGCTACATCAGTGTCGAAAAATCAGCACATAGTGCGCATATGCATGCTTGTTTCTAACAAACAACATTGACATACCAAGAAGGAACAATAAAGAGCAATATTAGAGAGCTTGAAATTAGAGCCAAATTCCGAAGTTGGACCAATG